ATGGATAGACCCAGTGTGGTCAATGTTATACAAGTTGTGTTTTGAGTAGAGTTTCTCGTACAAATGAGACTCTGCTCCAATTTTGTTAAGTTATAGATCCCGGTAAATGGAGCATAACAACGTGTTATCGAATTACCATAGGTATTCCACAGGTTGATGGATGATCAATCAGGTTATTACAGACACCCAGATTTTGGGGTGTCACAAGATGAAATGGAAACAGATCTCTCCTGCGGTGAACTCAAGTTCGTCGAGATGGTGGATCCCGCAACGAGAAATGAGTTGAGAAGGCCAAGGAGGGCCTAAGGAGTTGTGATGAATTGTCCCAAGGGCTGTTCAACCGGTCCTGGTGAGTCGCAAGATGCTCATGGCACACAGAAAAATAAGTTAGAAGGGCGCCGGAGTATTTTTCGGTGTATTTCCTCTAACGATCAAGTCAGTTCTTTAAAAGAAAGGAAAAAGAAAGCATTGTATTACCTTTTGGGGGTGAATTTACGTACCTTTACAATGTGTTTTTGAAAACTATTTATACCTTCAAAGACTCATCATTACTGATGGTCTAAATAGTAGGTAGCGTCCAGAAATGGGGCAGTGTATCTTCTATTTTACGGAGGGGATGCTCCAATATTAATTCTTCGAGATGCCAAACATTTAATTCTCTTTCTCCAAGGTATAGACATTAAATGCACAGGCATTAGATCATTTAATGCTCCTCTTCCTCGAATTCCAAAGTCACTGTGGATGTCTCATCATATGAGGATTCATTAAATATTTGTCTGAAACAGCCGTATGTCAGTAGGGATATTTCTGTCTGTCTACCCCTCATCTTGTACTTTATGTCACTCGTCTGACTCTCTCTAGTTGAGTGTCCAGTTCATTCTATCATCCTGACTTTTATCGTGTAGACCACCCTTATGATTTCTAATCTAGTTTAAACTGTTCAGTTGTCAATCAGTAGTCTTTCCAAAACCCGAGGACACGTGACCAGATCAGAACCTCGATGAGCACCCTCGGGCCAGAGAACACATAGCTTTCCTCAGAAAGGAGACACCCTTGGAGCTGAGGACACAGGTCTGTCATAAGGAAGAGGAGCACACCGGCGTTGAGCATGAGCACTTGCGAATAGCAACACATGCCATCTGACCCGAGGACACATGTTTCAAACAGGGACAAAAGACGTGTCCTTGGTGCCGAGGACATGTGTTCATGTTAGAATAAAAATGTACCCTCGATACTGAGGGCACATGTTGGTCATCCACTCCATCTCAAAAGTGTCCCATCACAAACTTTTTAATATAACTTGTCAACCTAACATGAAATGAACAAAAAGTCACAAAATACGAGTTTAGTCATAACAAGTTCATGTTGCAATCGGTTCGATCCGTTGGACCCATTTAACAAATGAGATCACATATGAGTTAAACTAATTTTGGCATGACATGATTTACATTCATTAAACCCCTGGTACTACTCATTAACAGGGTCGACCCTAGATATAGGCCACTTAGGTGGCTACCTAAGACCCCCAATATTTTAGGGACCCAAATATCTTAATTTGAAGGCCTTTTGTAATAGGGTGGTTTGAATTCAAATGGCTTAATGAAATTATAAAAGAGATTCCTATCATTAGATTATACAATGGTCCAACAACTGTTCTGTTACTTTTAATAATCTCTCTGACAGTCAGATCGAGTTTTTTTCAATGTGTGAATAAGTTTTCTCTCTCTCTCTCACACACACACACACAAACACACAAAAAACCGCATATAATGTAAGTGATTGTTGATGTTAAAGAAGAAATAACCGGAGCACTCAAAAAAAAAATTATCAACAAGAAAAATATTTTTAAATAGAAATCATACTATTTCTTTAATCCAATATAGGTTTAAAATATTAAAAATAGAAAAAATGTTTTTGGCTCTTAATTTAGTTTTAAAAGATTAAATTCTTCATGTGATGAAAATTTTGAAAAAATATGGTCTTAAACTTGAATTTTTTTTAAAGGCGACTTATTTTATAGTTTAATTTATTTTTACGAAAAAGTCTTAAGAACTTTCATATGTAACAACTATAAATGAGAACAACGATATAATGATACATAAAAAGATTAGATTCTTTTTCAAATGCCTCAATTCCATATTGAATATTGTAAATAATGTCAATATGAGTTTATTATACTTGAAAAAAGTTTTTAAAATTATAAATTGATAAAATTTTATCTACAATCAATTATATTATCAAAAAAGTGAAGTGATTAACTATATTATCTATTGAAAAATTGTTTATTAATAAAATATCAATTTAAAAGCCTGACTAATATTTTAGCATCTCAAAAAATAAATAACATTTATTAAATATTATTATTTAATATTATATATATTAATCAAGTATATATATTAACGGAGCCTTGTTTAACATTTCGCCTGGAGCCCCTAATAACGTTGAGCCGCCCCTGCTCATTAACGACCTTAGTTACGACTTATCTTCATCTATAGGAAATGTTATAAAACTAGAAGTTTCAATCAAATCTAGAAGTTAATCCAAATAGAATAAATTATCCATATGTATAGTAAAATGTTTGGCTTCTTTTGCCTGTCTTTGATCAATCACTAACCACTTCCTGTTCTTGGAAAGACAATCTTTTATCAGGATAACATGATGTTTCCCATATCTAACGCCTTCAACAATAAAAAAAAAAAAAAAAAAAAAGGGCATTGTCATTTCTTGTGTATATCTTCATACACAAAGTCAAAGACAGTTTGTCTTCCCTTAAGTGGAAATGAATGTGAGGCTGGATTGCTTTACAAATGACTAAACTTAGGATCTTTATTTATAGAGAAATTAGGGTAATCTTTGCCTAAAAATACGGTATAATATGAATAATTTTGAGAGAAATGTTGATGACCGTTTGATGAGTCTAGTTAAAATTATCGGATAAACTTATTGAAGTCTGTCATGTTTTATATTATAGATGTTATTTGGACAAAAAATATTGACACTTTTTGTCAATTTCCTCCATCACAATCATTGAATACGTAGTAAGCTTTAATAAATGTTAAGACTAACAATTAAATCAATGACAGTGATATTGAGAGTCATAAATATTATCAATATTTTTTGTTCAAGTAAAATTACTCTTGTTTATATCTTATCTTATGATATTTCAATTAGGCAACGTTGTTGATGTTAAGAATAAATTATTTTTCATCTTTCTCTAGATTGAGTCAATAGCACTTATCTTTTTTTGTTCTTTTTCTTTTTTATGAATACCCAAGGGGGATATATGCAATTTTTAACATACTTTATTTAATATCATATTGTAGTCGCAAGAGTCCAAGAGTACTAATAAATTCAAGTCCAAACACAATCTCCGACCTCCAAAAGTGTTTTAACTTTTTGAGGAGTGAATGAAATCTTATCAATCAATCTGAACTCTTGCCGCAACCAACGTAAAATTTCAAGAGGATATATGCAATTTTAGACCCATTTTACGCAACAGCATACTACAGTCACAAGAGTCTAAGAAAGTCCATAAGCCAAGTCCAATAACCACCTCTAAAAAGCCTAATATTTGGAAAGAGAAGAGAGAGAAAGAGATTGATTTATTCTGGATAAAAAAATAGAAGGTATATTTTACAAAAGAGCATAAAATTTATTTTGATCGATTATTTTAGGGAAAAAATTAACATTTGACCGTTAATTTTCATGGGATTCTTAACAGATTCAATTTTATATTAGAACCACAATGGTTAATATGTAGGTTTTTAGGTAAATAATGTATTATTGGTTCAAGCCATAGATTCATAATCTATAATTTGCCCTTGATAGTGTCACGTAGCTTGGAACAAAAATGTTACAAGCTCTGCATTATGACTAAAGGTTGTATTAAAAAGATAAGTAATCGACAATTTTACTCCTATTTTGGACAAATTGATTCTCAAACTTAAACCCGCAACATATCCCATGAGAAAAACTTCACTTTATCGCCAAAGGTTAAATCTCTCATTTGTAATGAGATCCAAAACAATCTTTTTGATAACGATATTGTGTTGTTATTATAAATTTTGTAATTATTTTTATAATTTTGAGGGTTATTTACAATTTTTGTAGTAACATGTATTTGATACATTTTTAGGTTCGATCACAAATTATCATAAAAACTCAAAAAGTTGTAAATTTTTTATTGTAAACAAAAAAAAAATTATCAAAAAATGCACAAAAGTTATAATATTTGGAGGTACGGAATCAAAACTTCTTTTATTTTTGGTAGCGCAGCCTTCTCTTGAGTATATATGTATAGTTTTGCAACAATTGCACATCAATTTCTCAATCTTCCGATCTTTAGATGAAAAACAACTACAGTCAGAAGAGGTGTACTGCTTATGCAAGTTCTAGAAGGTTAGAATAAATGGATTTATTACAGCTCATGTAGGTTGTATATACATAACAATATATGTATATATTAAATAATATATAAAAATAAATAAAATATATTTTAACACAAATAATTCACTTTTCTTCTAATTTTAAAAAAATTAATTTTAATTTAACAAAAAAAAAATTCATTCATACACTTTTCCATCCATCTTATTTTTTTTTTTAATCAAACATAATATTTTATTTATCCTCTTAACTTTTCACCCTTTTAATTTTTTATTCTCTCATTTTTCCAGCCGTGACCAATAGCTCAAATAATAACATTAACAAGGATGAGTTATAAATTTAAACGACTTGAATTCAAATATTAAAAAATCTTTTGAAGTTAGTCCCAATGTAAATTGCCTATTTTGATTGGTCGGAGAAGAGAATTGGTTGAGATTTGCTCAAGCTGCTGGCCGGACACCCCCTCACCGTTGAAAAAAAAAAAAGAATAACCGGTCTGAATCTGCAAATTCACAGACAACTTTTCTCACCAAAGTGTCCCAAGATTTCTACCACATGTTTTCAGATCAAATTTTCAAATAAAGACTAATTTTTTTTGAGACAAAACAAAGATTAATTGATTATATTTATTGATCTACTCACTGTCTACCATGGTGGATCTCACCACTGGTTAATATGCAACCAAGACAAGAAACCCTATCTCTCAAATCTCAAATCACCGTCTTTATCAAGCCTTCAAACAAAATACAGTTCATGTACAATTTTAAATCCACAAAAACTACAAAACAACACAAAAAAACACTCGAGAGATTGTAGATTTACAGATCGGCAGGGAGAATTTATTCCAGATGTGTATGAAATCGACGAAATCGGAACCCTACCGTCGGGAGCCACGAAGAGTAGACAACATTCTGGAGAAGGCGACGCGCAAGCGAGGGCAGACTCGGTGGGTGTAGAAGGTGGACTGACGGAGGAGGTTTTCGAGGGACTCGACGAAGAGGTTGAGGCTTCGTATCGGCGGTATGTACAGCGTCAACGGCACAGCCGAGAAGGCAACGGCGAAGAACAGTTGAAGCATTTGACCCAGGAAGCTGTGAATATGGATGTAGATGTAGAGGGTAGATAGAGAAAGTTGTTTAGTTTTAGAGAGAGAGAGATGATGTGTTTGGACTATTGGTTTGGATTGGCTGATGGTATGGAAGTTTATATAGGCCATATAGAGAACAACTGTACAAGTCATTGTTATATTAAAATTTATTTATATTTAGTTTATAACTAATAATTATTTGTATATTTTAAGGTTGGTGTCAATCCAATTCTAATTAAAATTATATTTTAACAAAATTTGTATGTGATCCATCTATTCTATTGCACAAGTTTTTTGAGATTATATGTTTTATTTGAATTTGTATTAATTTATTTATTAAATACATGTTATGATTTTACATATTTATTGCATAAATTTGTTTTTAAAAAAGGGTAAATATCATAATAAACCCCTCAATTTTGTCTTCTGTTACTAAAATTATCTCTGATATTTTAATTGTGTTAATTTTGTCTATCAATTATCAATTTCGTATAAATAAAGTTATTTTTTTCATTTTAACCATCAGACTAAATAGAAACACGTGATGTGAACAACCAAATGACAAACGCATAGGTAGGGCTGATAATCAAAATATCCTGAATGAGCTTGAATCGAATTTATCGTGCTCATTTTTTTAAACAAGCTTAAAAGAGCTCAAAATTAGCCGAAATCAATAGACCCGAATATTTACACATAAACAAATCGAGTCTATCGAGTTTAAGTTAAGCCAGTTGAACTGATACTCTAAACGACTCTAAAAAATTATTCGAGTTTCACTAATTTAAAAAACGAAACGAACCAAACCTAAATGACCGAGCTCGAATAGCTCGATTCGATTATCAACCTGCACAAACTTGCCTCCGTTTGTTTTAAAATGGTGAAATTGACAGAAGGATTTTATTAACATAAAATTATTAATTAAGGGACTAAATTAAAATAATTAAAAATTCAGACATCATTTTAAAAGAGAGACAATATTTAACAAAAGAAAAAACATAAATTTCGTGGGGGTGTTGACTTGTTATACTCCAAAAACAGGTTTACAATTGTCCCTCCTCATAAGTGGCTTTGTTTGTATGGCGTTGGAAGTTGGTGGTAGGAGCACCTCTTTTTGAAAATGTTTTTTTTTTGGGAAACGTTTCTATATTACAGGTGGTATCGTATAAAAAATTACAATCTTTTAAGGTTAAATTATAAATTTTTTATATGTAAATTATAATTTTTTAAAAATATGATCGATCATAAAAGATTTAGATCGATACTAAAAATCTATGGTCGATCATAAATATCTATAATCAATTATAATCTTCACTTCAATAGGTGTAATTTTTTGTTTTTTTTGACGACATCTTTCCAGTAATTCAACTTTGCACTCCCAACATCCAAGAGAAGTCAAATTCCAAGAAACTGCCCATAGGAATTGTTTTTACCAGGTGCACCAAATGATTTATTATGAGAATTTTCTCCTCAATTCTCACCCTTTTAGTTTTTCTAATCTTTTTTTTTTTTTTGATGTAATGAAGTTTCAGATTTTAAATGCAAACGAAGTAATCACCATCGAGTGGATGGTCTAATAGAGTATCGATCAAATTTTTTATCCTAAAATTAAAAGTTTAAATTTTAGAGATTAAAAGAATAACAAGTGCAATCAAGAATTTCGTAATCCCATCGAATCTATGAGCGCTCCTTTGCCCCCCTGTTTTTCAACCAGCTAAAAAACAAAAAGTGAACAAAGTAATCTCTTTCATACCATATTATTCTTACCTTTATTGCGTTTGTGCTAAAAAAGGGTGGACTAATTGGTGGCACACAAAACCCGAGGAAATATTTAATGTCACCGTAACACACCACCTAAGTAATCTCCGGCGAAAAAAAACATGAGTAATGACATGTATTTTAAATGAAGGAGGATCGTTAAATCAATGGATCCTATTTTAAAAAATTGATGAGACTCACTTATCCAATGGTCGTCTTTGATTTAGAATACAAATTTGGGTTATGAATTTGGGATACATAATATTACTCAAAAAATATTGGGGTGACTGTTATAATATGTGAGTAATATTTCGTGATATAATTATTCGTTAATAAATAAATAAGTCAATAATTAAAGAAAAATACTATGTAATTCAAATTTGTAACTCAAATTTTCATCCTAAATGAAGGGAGACCATTGGAAGAGTGAGTTTTATCAACTTTTTTAAATGGAACCCACCGATCCAATGGTCTATTTTTATTTGAGATGTAAATTTGAGTTACAGATTTGGGTTACATGTATTGCTCGTAATTGAATTTCATAAAATTCATAATCATTAAGTCATGTAATACATAATCATCATCATAATAGAAAGTGGGTCCTATTTTAATTATTTTATAGTTTTTTTTTATGAGCAATGCTATTGTGACTTTTAGATTGACTATGGATCTTATTAAATATTGGAAATTGGTGATAATTCAATGATTCTAATAAAGTCATATTATTAGGTCAGCAAATTAAGTCAAATTTTTAAGTCTAAATAGCATTACTTTTTTTATTGAATTTTCACATTACATCAATATTGTTGATATGGTGTAACCGTTACACCTAATATTTACTCTTTGACGTGATATTACCATTTAATGAGAAAAAAATAAATAGACAAAGTCTACCCCACTCTTATATATGAAATAGTTAGTACATTACGTGGATGTGTAATTATTTAAGTATGTATACACACTTCTTGCCTTATTATTATTGAATAATTACATCATATTAACGTGGTAATATAATATAACCGTGTCACTCAATATTTTCTCAACCCCAAACACATGTCCTAATAAAAAGCACCAAGTAAAGAAATTTAACAATTAACCAATAGATCAAGCTAAAATCCACCTTGTGGAGTGGTCCAGTAAGATACCGACTAAACTTTTCATTCTAAGATTGAAGATTCAAGTCTTGGAATCTGCATTGGGGTTCAGTGACCACTATTTTAGTCTCTAGGTTCATTCCCTCTAAGAGTAACGAGTGCAATCAAGAGTCTCATGATTCCACCAATAAAGATTTATATGAATGATCTGTGGACGTTCTCCTTTATCTCTACCCCTTTATAATTATCAAAAAAAAAAAAAGATCAAGCTAACCCTCTATTTGCCTCCAATGGAGGTAAGAAGATTCAAATCAAGAAGCTCCTATCTAGAATTGACTTTTACCTATTGTTTGGCCCCTACCAATGATGCCATTACTTTTGGCTACTGGCTTTACTTTATACCCAATCAGTATCTCAATTACCAAGTATGTCGACTACTATGCTTGTAGAGCATATTTTGATTCATTCTTGTTCTTGTTTTTATTTAAATATTTCCAATATAGTTTTATTCCTAGTAACCAAATGTATTGGAGTGAAATGAATCATACTAAATGCGATATGAAGGCATACTTTTAGGATCATGTTAAAAGTATGGCATGTGAACAAAATCATATGGATACTAATTAAGAAAAAGTAGGTTGTCTTTTACTAGGGTGACAATCTGTCGTGTTTGATTTGGGTTAGTTGAAGTTTAGATTGAGATTTTGCATTGATTGAGGATGTAGAATCACTTGGAGGAATCTATATAAATTAAATGATAAATTACATCTAGACCCCTAATATTTTTTACTTAATCAAACAGATCCTCTCACGTTTGACAAATAACACCACAACCCGCTATTAGTGACATATAGCTAGTACTAGTAGACCTAATGAATGGGCAAAAATGTCCATTTGAACCATTAAGAAAAATCAAACATCAATCCAATGTAAATCAAATTATCCTACAAACCCATACTCTGATTCAAATGTACACCAAATCATAATCTCTCATCCCCACCCTTTCTCTCTCCATAGTTGATCCCAGTCCCTAACCCTAATCTCTCATTTTGTGTTTCTTTCTTTCCACCACCACCACCAACATCCTCATCGTCCTTGTCTCTTTCCATCCCAATTCCCACACCACACCATACTAGACCCCCATTTAGCAACCATAATCCCCCATCTATGCTCCCCTCTTTCTCCTCTCCTCCAAGGCCCAATTAGAACCTTACCCTACACTAAATCATGTGTTTAGTAGTTGAGAATATTTGGGGGTCGGTTGGTGTTTGAATGGGGGAGAAGGTATTCGTTGAAAGAAAATGGAGTTTAAATGACAATAAGAAATTATTAGATTTTTATGGGAGTATACCTAAAATGATGAGAGGGTCGTGTCATTTGAATTCTTGTTTAATAAATGGTCAACTCAAACACTATCTATTAAGTAATTTAGACACATCATTTGACTCGAATATGACATAATGCGTTTAATATGGGTCATGTTAGGTCATGCGTGAACACGCCCCTCTATGAAACCATCACACGTGCACCGCCAGTCAAATTATAAGGTAATATTATTTCACAAAAAAAAAAAAAAAAAATTGGTACCATACTACCCTAACCAAATTCTATGATAAAAGGACAAAACTTAGAAGCAATAGTCATATATATGTGACATATGACCCCGGCTGCTTAACATGCAAACATCCATCTGAGTCCCCATACTTGAAAAGGACCTGTCCATGGCTCTTCACCGTTTGTTGTGGAATTATATAAAAACACCAAAATTATAAATAGATGAAAAAGACGTTGACTAGTTATTGTCTATTCCTTAAGGGACAAAATAATAAAAAATGATAAATAATAAACATATTTGTATTTATATTCAAAATCAAATTACAAACATAGAGAAGAGATAAAAAAATTTAAGCATCAATTTATAATGGAGGTAAGAGGTGGTGGTGGGTGGCAATGACCGTGGTGGTGGTGGTGGGTGGCGGCGAGGGCAGCGGCGATAGTGGTGGTGGTGGTGGCCAGGGCGGCGACGATGGTGATAGTGGCAACGACGCCAGCAGTGGTGGTGGTAGAAGTAGTGGTGGGGCGGTTTCAAACACTATTTTTTTTAAGTATTTATGGGAAATAATTTTTTAAAAAAAAGTCACTTCAAACACACCCTTAATGGCTTATTTTTTCTATTAAATTTAAGGTGTTAATATTAGCCGTTAGATTAATTTTAAAGTAAAATTTAAAGTGATCTCAACCGCAAACTACAAAAGTCATTTTATTTATCTTTTGAGATTTGAATTGTAAACTATTTTATTATATAGATAATTAATTCTTCAAAAAATGATACAAAATTAATAAATAAAAAAAATCAAATACGTGTAAAAATATATTAATGAATTCTAATTATAATCAGATTGATACATCAAATACATTTAATAAATAAGTCAACGAAAATCCGATTAACGAACCAAATATTAGATAAAATTGACTACACTTCTCTATATTGAGTAAATTTGGACCCGTAACGGCTCAAATGTAATATGCACCGACACGAAACGACTAGGAATTTTTAGAGTGATTAAACAGCTATCCATCTAGGCATTGAGTCGAGTCTCATTGATTGAATTGTACCTTTCAGTCAAGCTAGGATGAAGAGCTTTTTGGTTTCTCGTGACCCCACATGACAATAGAAAGGAAAAATGATGTATTTATTAAAAAAATTATCAAATGAACGTTGATGGTTAAATTAGTGTCTTGTTAAAAAGTGTTAATATGATTCATTGATACAACCAACCACGTTAAAGTCGATCCCCTCCTTGCACCATTGACTTTTTTTTTAATTAAAGCTTTTGACAAAAGAGAACGTGCCAGAAGATGGTGGACAAAAAAAATACCTCAAAACTAATTTTGGAAAAGCAAAGTCAACCCCCTCTTTGATGGGTGCTTGGACAATTGTCTTTCTAACCATGGCTTCCTTTGAATTCACCACAAAATAGTAACTTTCTAATGCGCTCAATCACTCGCAAACTACGTGCATTAAATAAATTCAAAATTTATGTGTGAGAGATATAGATTCAAGTCGTGAGTATTTACACATAACTCTTTGTTCTTACACTAATTAACAAGCGCAAATTTTTTAGCTTAATTGATTGATAGTGTCGTAATGGGTTACTTGAATGTGGAACTCTAATAAGCATGATCGACCATTTCTCAATTAAACCAACACATCCCTTATGCTCCCCCCCCCCCCCCCCAAGGTCTCGGCCAAACCAAAAAAAAAAGAAAAAGCAAAAACCCCTACCACACACGGAATATTATTCAATCTGATTGCCGAGTGTCTTTAATCGAATGTAATTGTGAATTGTGACTTGATGCATCTTCCCAAAGATGGTTTGCATGTGAGGATGAAAGTCTACATTTAAGAATGTTGTTGGCAGTGAGCATCATCCCATAGGCAACATTAAGAATACAGAACAATCATTTGTGTCCATACACAGACATGAGTGAGTGAATGCAACAGCTTTTAATGAGAGCTTAGGCTCTGACCCGAGTAGTATGGGGGACGTGGAATCTCATGTGAATCAGTAAGGACCACCTTGTAAGATTAAATACTCTTAGGTGACTGAAAACAAAACAGTGTCATGAGAAAAGGGTGAAAAGAACTTTTATCGGAGAGTGAAATAGAACATGAAACCATAAGCTCTTAAGCAATGAGAGGAGCCCCGTGCTCGGACCACGTGCTTGTTGAAGAATGAGCCGACGACTAATAGACAATAGCTTGGTTAAGGGAACCCACCGGAGCCATAGTGAAAGCGAGTCTTCATAGGACAATTGTCACTGATTATGGACCTGAACCTGGGTAATCTATCCATGAACAGGATAAAACTTGGGTGAAACTAAGTGAAAGTCCGAACCGACTGATGTTGAAGAATCAACGGATGAATTGTGGTTAGGGATTAAATGTCACTCAAACCCAAAGCTAGCTGGTTCTTTCCAAAATGCATTGAAGCACAGTTGTTGATTGAACATTTTGGAGTAAATCACTGTTTTGGTGCGAGTGTGCGAGCCACGAGAGCGGTAAGCAAACTTTGAGTACTAGATATGACCTCAAAATAAAAAGAATCAAGGTTAACCAGTGAGACAATCGGGAATAAACTTCATCATAACAACCTGAATCGAGATGGCAAAAGAAAAGAGTCATGTTGCCTTTACCCTCTTTGGACACATGGGGTGTTTGGTAAGATGAATGATAAGATTAAAGAATGAAAAATATGAGTGACACTTTCTACGTGAAAAAAAAAAAAAAAAAAAAAACTTTCCTTCTTTGTGTTTAGTAGAAGAGATGAAAATAATTGATTGTGTTATATATTCATAGAAAAGTGAAAGAAAGGAAAAAATATAAATGCTTATTTTACCATTGTATCCATATATGAATATATTAGATATATAAAGATAAATAATATAAATTTCATCACACACAACTAACTTTTCTTCTATTTTTCCTCCTAATTTTGGAAGAATAATATTGCTAAGTTAACACAAAAACTAATCTTCGCCCTTCATTCTTTCACTTTTTATTTCTATCCAAAGATGATGTTTTATCCATTCTTCCTATTTTTCATCCTCTCACTTTTTCATCATAACAAACAGACCAATTTCATGATGATTGTTATGATCAATTTGGTATTAAGGAGATAATTTAACCCTTAAAAATCAGATTTTTTCCCCTAGTCTTTGTCTCCATTTCTTAGGCACCTATGGATTTGATATAGATGTTCACAATTACTGCCACAAAAAAACCGCCCCGAAGTCCTTTATGACTATAAAGGGGTGTGTGGTGTGTGATGGTGCCAACTCATTTGAGATGAGTTTTTTGGGATGCAATTTGGAAAGCATATAATTGCTCTAACAAAATTTGCTGTAAATTTACAAAAGTTCTTTACACATCTCCACCATGGGATAAACATAAAAAGAAGCTGATTAACTAAACAAATTATGGAGAAGTCATACATACAAGCAACTGTTGGCAAACTTTTCGTACATCTGGTGAAGGGTCAGATAAGGATAAAGCTGAAAGTAATGTTGTTGCTTCCAGTAGGCCTTCAGAAATATTCTGCACAACTGGTTCTTCACTTGCCATGAGAGATGCAATCAACTTGGTACCAGCCATCCTTTCCTAATGAACAATAAAACCACCATTAACCCGACAAGCGCAATAAACACGAATCTAGCAGATAGAAACATGTTTCTACATTCCCGTCCTCTGAGAAAACAAGAGCATGCATGCATACGTGAACAAACCTCAAATAAGTGAACTCAAACTGATGAATGCATGAACCATAATTTAATCATCATCGAAATGTCCATTTTTTACATGCCTAAAGTATTTGGATACAATGGTTTTGGTTCTTATAAATCTTATTCAACTAGGCAGCTCAGATCGAAGATTGGAGATTCAATGTGGATATATTAACTGAAGCTATAGAACACATTATCAGCATGCACTCTTCACTAACAGTTTAAATCTTGTGTTTATTTCGCAATCACTGCAATCAATCCCTTACAGCAGTTGTCTCCAATTTTTAAGGTAAAGAAGTCCTAGATCCTGGCAGGCTAAATAATCGGTGTCCACAATACAAATGCACATCAACACATACATGTGGGCGTGTGCTTACACACTCACTGAGAGACACAAACACAAATGGCATATATAAGAGTAAGGAAAGGCCATGTGCAAAGGTAAAACAAAGACATTTTAGGCTAACATGAAAGACTAAAGATGGAACTACTAAATTTTCTTTTACGGAACTTCATTACCTTGTCTGATCCTTCTCTAAGAGATTTCAAAGAGACTTTAAGAAGATTAGAGGAGTAAGGAAGAATTGCAGTCTTCAGATGGTACACAGCTGAGAAGAGAACCTGAATACATGCTGCTCTAATCTCTGGCTCCTTTGCTACCTGCTACCACCATTAAGATTAGTCAAACAAGATGACATCCAGCCTTAAAAATGTTGCCCCTAATCAGGAATCCCTAGATCTACAACTAAATTATGATTTCACTAATCAACCTACCCCAACAGATTGAATGAGACAAGGAAGAGTTTTCTGGGCAAAGGGTTTCCTGCCAGAGTTGGAGATTTTCTGGCAAGCACTAATGAGGACATTAGCCATGCACAAGCGAAATGGGAGAGGGACATTTGCCTCAGACTTCTCTCTACCAGACGAGATAAATTCATTCTTATCACAAGTCAATTGATGGATCACATAAGTGTGGACTGAATTTCTTGCAGAAGCACTACCTGCATTTGTGTTGCACCAGTCATTTAATCTCCTGTATGCAGCAAAAATCTTCCTACAAATTGAAAATACAATACCAACCAGAACAACCATCCTCTCCAACAATGCTAGTTCCGTTCCAGGTGCAATTGAATAACTCTAGTGCTTGTAGTTCAGTACATACCATCAGTGCTAGACAATCAATACACCCATGTTGTGCTTTGGAAACTGAGGAAAAAGTCTTGCAAGCATCAGACATTAGCATTGGTAAGATAAATCATTTAAGTACTACAGAAATTTAGCTACTAACCTTCATCTCCATCCATCGAAGGCCATAACAGAACAGTTTCAATTGTTTCTGTAATTCTGGAGATAACAGGAGGCAAGACTGAATCCCTGCCTCTGATCTTATCCCAGAGGAAACCACAACAACTAACTTCAGATCATATGATTCGCATAATAGCAATTACCGGTAATCAAAGTCTATGAAACAAAAGATAAATTCGTAGTGATGACAGATTTTTACCACAAGAGATGTGCAAATTGAAAACAGACAAGCTTTTATCTTCAGTAAATCATGAGCATTTGCAGCAATTTTCAATTGAGAAGAAACAATTGGAAATAGAATCTGCAGAATCAAATGAGAGGGCAATTAAACTTGTGTATACATAGATTAAGAAAAACAGCCATACACTATGTCATCAATTACAAAAGCACCATATCAAGAAACTCAACTAAGAACCATGCAGAAAAATACTGTAAAAGTCTCAATTTGGAAGAATTCCAGGAAAAAAGTAACCTGAGTAATGAAAGGGTACAAAACAAATTATCTAAATGACGTCAATAAAAGTGGCGAGAAAGTTCAGAAAAGTGCTAATCAACAAGCATTACAGGCAAAACCTAGAGATTGCTGGTTCCAATCTGAGACTGGCCACTTGGTGCAAATAATTACAAAGTTTTCAAGTTTGATCTACAGCCAATCCATTCCTTCCAACACACTTGGTTAATGGTTGGACCAAATTGGAACCAGGTTTTCTTCACAAAGCTTTGTGGACTGGAAGAACTGCAGAATAAAACATCTACGGAATATCTACTTGCTTCCATCAGGGAGTAACTTGTAATTTTTCCATGCAATTGGAGACTCACAATGCATGGATACTCTCTAATACAGTTTTCATTTTAAGACTCCTAAAGGTAGCAGATAAGAAATTTGTAACCCGTGCAAATTTCAAAAGGGAAAGAAATGATTCAATTCAACATTCCCATAAATTCTATAAGAAATTGTGATCCCAACAAAGTACAAAGCATACTGTGCATTTTTTGCTATTGACATCTTTCCCTTTCAAGCATGAGATTCTAAAATCAAGCATCCTAACTTTTACATCTACAGCGCTTCCCTATAGTTATTTTTTGAGGAAGTGAGTCTCAGAATCCTTTCAAAACATTCGTTAGGAGCCGATAAATGTGTATTAGAGCAGAAGCAACCAAGTGCTATTCATATGTCATACAAGTAGGGCTGTTAAACAAGCCAAGCTTGAACATTTTTTAAAGCTCGTTTATGTGTAAATAGTCAAACAAGTCAGCTCGTTTATGTGTAAATTCAGCTCGATTTAGGATCGAATTCAGCTTGATTAACACCCCTACATACAAGATGTACATTCAGCCCCAAAGGAAGATACTGTCTTTTCTGTATACGTCAACAAAGGAACAAGTAATTCCAATATAGTAACAGGCTGGCAGCTATATGCTTAAGAATAAATATATATTTACTGTTAAGTACATAGGGATGAATACGTCCACAGAGCTCAGCTGCAAGTTTCCGAACATCTTCAAGCTCAAACTTATTAAAAGCCCTGAAAGAGAAAATATGGAGAAACATCAGATCCTGATTTAAAAAATGGTAAGTTTAAGATGGTTATGCCTGTGGACCAACCTGTTCATCAGAAGTTTAGCAACACACTCAGTGTCGTCAATGCTGAAATATTCATTATCTGCAAACATGACACATGAAACCACAAGTTAATCATATCAACGTAGGATTATTTGTTTTCGATCAAAGCTTAAAATGTGAAATTTATTTCAGGAGCTCATTACGCTGCTAAAAAAAAAAGTTATGCCCACAATATTAAAGTCATTACCCAGTTTGGTTCCTGTTAATCATGAGTTTTGGCGAGGGTGGATTAGGTACATCCCCAACTTTTCATAAAATATGCACAAAACAGTAGTCATCAGATTTGAACCCTTAACGTTTCGGTTGTCAACCCAAACAATAGGAAATGAGGCTTAACATATCTTGTACTTTCCAGACCTTGAAAATGTAAGAGGGGCTTAAGATTCCCGCCGAAATAACAATCCACACAATAAACCACAAGAAGCGGAATAAGACAGAGGAACTTGAAGGTGGCTATTCGATATGAAATGGAATGAAGGTATATTGGCCACATGAATTGGTATGTCCTTGTGATGTAAACTCTTTGCGTAACATCAACCTAGGTCAATTAGCCTGTAGAAAAATTTACGCTCATATTTAAAAATAAATCGCTGAGTGAATATTTAGGTCAGCCTCCCCTTAATCAAGGATGAAAAAGGACAAAGAAATTGATAGGGGGAAGATAACAGAGAAGGGGGGAAAAGAGGATAAACTTTGGTCATATACTTGATTGGAAAATTCTTATTCTACAATGAAGAAAGACGTGGGCAAGCATGCCTATATTATTGGGACCCATCCCTAGAAGAAGATGCAGCCCACATTACATGTGTGATTAAATGTATCTTGTTCCTCCTATGGTCTGCATTGTTCTCCCTCTACTGGAGAAGACACCGTGCTCTGAAGTGTTTAGGCTTTAAAATTCTTGCATTTTACCTTTATCACAAGGGGCAGAAATATGTGAGAACACCCCACATCACATGCGTGATTAAATGTATCTTGTTCCTCCTATGGTCTGCATTGTTTTTCCTCTACTGGAGAAAACATTGTGCTCTGAAGTGTTTAGGCTTTAAAATTCTTGCATTTTACCTTTACCACAAGGGGCAGAAAAAAGTGAGAACACCATTCTATCCATCCATGTTGAAAACAGAAATTAAAACCACCTTACTTGGACCGTGCACTACAAAGCCATGACCACTTGTCTTTTCTCTCTGCTTTTTCTTTTATCTTGTATTGTATCACTTTTTTGGCTACGGGAGCTCACCAAATTTCCCCATGGATCCATTAACATAGGCATCCATGATCGCTCACTTCAAATTAAATATTGGAAAAACCTCTATAGCTGTAAGAAAGAAATGGGCAAAATCCATCTTACCCTCTTTTGGTTTGAGCCAATAGCACTTCACCCACTATAGTTAAAAATTACCACATAACTTCCAGGTGTTTGTAGACAAATTCGCACAACCAACACCATTAACGGAAATAATTAAATTACTTTAATACCCTAAAGTCTACTTCTTGCCGCAACTCAATTGCTCTCTCTGCAAAATGTGTAACGCAAAACAATCCATAATTTCAACAAAAAATCGACCACCAAAAATATCCCTCAAAGACTCACTGACAATAATCAAATACAACCTAAAAACACCGGAAAAATCAAAACCACCTGAAAATTGCAGTGATTATATAGATTTCCCGCCATTAAACCACAGATATATATATATATATATATCTGTGTGTGTGTGAGAACAAATAGAAAAAGATGCATCTGCAGGAGTGGGTGTACAAAGTGGTATTGAGACACAGTGAAGCAACCACGATCCACTACTTTGAAAAATGATGGAATACCTCTTTCATCTCCTATCTTCCATTCCTTCCAATCATCCACTCCTTGTACTGAGTGGAATTTAGCATTGTCTTGTTAGTGAAAGGTTTTAATAGAATAGATGGAGCATCATTCCAATAGAAGATTCAAGATTGGAATTGAAAGCAGATGTTTTTTGGTGGGAGCAAAGCAATGGACGCTTACAGAGGTGATGAGACATGGAAAGTTAACTTCGTGTTTCTGATCCCTGGTGACTCTGAAAAATGGTTGGGGGTGACCCTCCCAACCCTGAAGAATGCTGTTATGTTGTCTGGATTTTTCAGGAAATACAGAGCAAGTTCTTTTTTGGTGTGGATGGAGTAGATTAGAAATAACAGGGGTGTCTTCATGGGGATTTCAAAGCAGTCATTGAATGGCAGGGCATCAAATATTAAAGAATTTGTGGATGTACCTTTGTTTTCCCTTAACCTTGATTGATAGCAGCTTTTAGTTGGATGAACATTTTCTTAAGTCATGTCTTCATCAAAAAAAAAAAGTCCCATTTTGACTTGACATTTCCAGATGTATTTCCTTTCATTTGATATTTGACAATTCTATTCTTGCGTTGATAGGAAACCAGAGCATTTTCTGTTCAAAGTTATGTGTCAAGACACAGATTTGGATAAAATCAAATCAAAAAGAAATTGTATTCAAGAGATAGTGTTCTGTGCAAAGTGCAAATTGTTGTGTTCCAAGGTCCGACGAATCTCTCTCGATATGGCCAGAGGAATTGTGAGTATGCGTGGTGTGGTGGCTGTGGATGGATTATGGTTGATTACTAACTGACATGAAACACAAAATCACACGAAACACTTACGACATTATGAATCGATTGATAACCTTACGTCAGAGGCAAAAAACAAAAGACTGCAAGAAAAAGTTAAACTGTCAGGACTTGAATAACTCAAAAAAGCCTTCTTAATTTGGTCAATTCCATGGTACAAATTATTCATAATGGACCTTCACTGAAGTACTTAACACCAGTCTTGAGAGACCCCACGCTATCAGCCATTGACAAAAACTACAAATTTCAGACCTGGGTGCTTCACAATATAAAAGTTTTGTGGCTAACATGACAATTAAACTAAACGAGGAATATGATAGTCTATAAACTTAAATTGAACAACGAAAGGCAAAAAGCTTAAAGTTAAGGCATTAACAACCAATTAAAGGCTTGAACTCAATGCTAGCTAGAGTCACAAAACATATTATTATTGTGATATTCTGATTACTTGGAAAATTCACATCATACTCAAATGTAAGCAATCCTGAAATAGAGAGACCAACATGAACCACCCTGACCCCACCGGAATAAACCACAGGCACAATAATAAAAAGGAAGGAGGATACGGAAAAGCAAAAATAAAATCATGCATACACCAACAAAACAATTTAATATATCTATCATACAGTTATACTTAGAAGGCACAGAACAAACATACCATGCATAGTGTCTCGGCTGGGAAGTTCACCATACATAAGAGAAGAATTGAGTTCATTGAAAACTCTCAGTGGAAGCAGCCTGATTATAAGCAATGGGCACAGGCGATCAAAGAGAGAACTTTGGAATTTCACAGCACCATCGCTTGGATAGGTTTTACACTCCTGGTCGGTGAAGTGGCCTTCATCAATTCTGATACCCAAAAAAAATAAAACAAAGGTTCACTTAAAATAGGCATTAACATAGCAGCAGACCCAATTTCCAATTCTCTGGTTCAAAAAAGAATAAACTAATATCAACATCAGATCAAATTATCCATGTTTCTGACGCCTAAGTCAGTGGGATATCATATAAAACAGGTTGAGTTTGTTCATAAAAGGAATTTAGATTCTGTTTCTGTGACAAAGAAAAGAAGTGTCAGAAGACATAATAATTTTCACCAACAAAATGAAAAGGAAACACAGTTGGATTCTAGTAAAGATGTCAATGGCTAGTAGAAAAATCTCATGAATGGGAAAAGAATATAGTTTCTCTAATGGTGTCAGGTATATCTAATGAAAATGAAAAAAAAAAAGCAGATGCCAACTGGCACAGGCTAGATAAGAAAGACAAAAAGAAATGGATAAATGAGAAACAAGGTTATGAACACACACATATAAATATGTGCGAGCATATATATATATATACATGAAGGCCACGTAAATGTCTCTGAAAAGTGAAAAGGTTATGTTGATTAAGTTAGTGCATCCAATTCACATGTGAACACCAAAAAAGTTGAGCATTTCATAGTAAGATTTGAAAACGCGAGCATAATCGAAAAAGAAAAAAAAGCTGTTTGTTGGAGGAGGAGGGGGGCAACAGTGTGCTTATTCACAACAAATTGGCAAAAGTTACAGCATGCTTCGTTGGGCTTGAATTCTCATATATGTCGTTCTCCAATGAAACTTTTCATCAATCAATTAGAAGAGGTTGCTTACCGATCCAAAAATTGATTGCATTACATACACTGTTGTGTTGGTCAATATTTGTTATTCAAATGACCGACACATTAGTTGTTAGATAAGATATTGTAGATACCATTTTACCACAATAATTTTGAAGGCCGTGTGCAATTAAAACCGAAGAAGTCTTTATTCCAACTATGTGGAGTTGACTAACTGACTCCTGCTTCTCCACTATGCTCTATTAATGATCCTATCTTCCTTTTTTCCTATCTCATTCAAAGTTCAGTCTACCTCTACCTCTTACATTGCCATCGATATGTATTAAATCAATATTACTCACTGGTGCAATACTGAGTCTCTATGGACATGTCATAACCACCTAAGTTGAGCATCTCTTAATTTACCTGCTATTGGTGCTACTTCTACAGTTTCTCGAGTAAATTCATTTCTATCATTTCTGGTCGTACCAAATATCCATCTTAACATCCACATTTTGGCTACACTTAGTCTTTGAACATGTTTCTTTATTGGCTGACATTCTGTATCATAAATCATAATGGTGCTCCAGTTGAGCTTGAGCAAGGATAAGATGACAACGTTGTGGTGGAAAGTGAAGACTTGACTGGTGATATTATATTAGAAGAAATGACCCAGAGTGAAACACACTGGAAAAACACAGTATGTGTAGTCAATTAACACAAAAGCTCTTGTCAAATATGATGCTCCATATAGTAGATGCATTCATACACACAAGACAAGCACCCAACAGAAGCATGCCTATAGTCATGTATTAATGCCTAATAATACTGGGAAAGCTTCCAATCAAGAGTCAGATGATAACAATAATTTTCAAGGAACTGCACATTGGCAGCATGTGTATTGAATTGCACTGAGACATCAACATCACTTAAAGCTGTAGTATTTTTTTTCTCTTTGCATCTGGGAAACTGTAGCACACCACCAAGTCCGTAACAGCTCCCGCTTCCTCCATGAGTCCCCAACTTCACCAACATCAAAAGAATCAGAGTACATCACCTAAGCTTATTGACCGAGGAGAAAACAAGAATGAGGTTTATTGAAGGAGCCTATGCACCAGCAGAATCCATTGGAGATTCAAAAAACCGTGAGATACTTGATATTCATCATTAATTTTCTTTCACATAAAAGTAAATGATGAGTCTCGGAATCCTAAAAAAAAGCAGCATCTTTTCTGTAGTTTGTGCACTTTGCCAGCCCAATGATCCGTTCAAGTAATCTTAAACTAGCCAATACTTGGCCAACAGCTTGTAGGAAAGGTTCTTTTGCAAAGGCAAACATTCCAAGATGCTACACATGTTGCTTGACTAGCTCTTATCTCCTAGCTAATGTTCTTACAGTATTCGACCAGCAACTAAATAGACGAGCTAGTAGTAGTCAATCAAAAAAATAAGACAAGCAACACTAAATCAATGTGATAAAGGATTTCAACTTGCAATGGACTAAAAAAGACAAACAAGAATGAGTTTTATGTACAAAATTAGACTGGATATAACATCCGCTGATAAGATGTACTTACTCTTTTTGCTGCCTTGCATGCAAAAGAAGTCTACAGAAAACAACATCTGCAGCTTCCGCTAAGTGTTCACTTATATAACTTAGGAACCTGACAAAAATTGCATTTGATGGCTCCATAAACATTTTGTCGATCAATGGTCCACTTATCAAGCTCCAATCTGTAACCTAGAGTATTACAGGCAAAAAATAGCAACTAAATCAGGTACAATCTAACCACACTCAGTGCAAGTAAGCACACAAAAAGATTAATGCAAAGGCAATTGAAGGAACAATCCACAAACAGAAAAATATTACTGAAGTTAATGCACATCCACCATGATGGAGACTCAGATCCTTTTACCCAATATTTTTACATATATGCAGGTGGGAGCTACAAATTTTTACATTAAATGCCTTGCAAAATAACATATTTGTAGACAGATTACAAACAAGTTCAGGCATTATGTAGACATATTAAGGACAAGTAAAATGTAGGGCAAGTAAAGTATAGTGTACGATGCAACAGAGGCATTTTAGTACTTTTGAAAGGCAAGAATCTGAGACGGTAAAAGAAATGAGCTGCACAGAAACACATGATGTATATAACAGTATATAGACTGAAATATGTTCCAAAAGCATGCAAGGATCCCATGATAAACCATAAATAGCTGCAAAACTTCAAATCACCAACAAATTAGTTAGGTAGAACACATTAAGCTTACCGTTTTTGACCACTCTGGGATCAATTTGAGTACTCTATCAGTGTCCAACTTTGATCCTGCAACAATGTAAAACAGGCGATGAATTGAAGAAGTATGTTAAATCAGTATCCTCAGACCATAGAAGACAAACTATTGAATGTAAATGGTGCTTTCTTTGGAACCTTTCTATGGGACAATAAAGTTGGTTGCAAAATTCAAAACTTTGTTTCATTTTTCTTCTGTTCTTTTGCAATCAGTAATATATGTGATTTTTGTGAGAAAATGTCTAGGCTAGTGTTCTGCTATCTGCTCTCACAAAAAAAGGGGTAAAGAAGAAGATAAAAAAAAAAATCGCCACCAAACATTCTACAATTCAAATGGCCATTGAGCAAATTCATTGAATGGCAATAATGGGAAGAAAGTGGTATCATGTTTTATGTACTGTTTTGAAGTCAAAACAATAAAAACACACCTTCTCTTCTACCACCAGCAACTTCTGGAAGGTCTGGGCTTTGGCAGAGGTTGCTGCAAATTACAACAGTAGTAAAAAAGGTACACAAGTAAAAAATTCATTCCAATTATATTGCAGCTGAAAGCAAACAGTTCAACGTATGAAGACATTCTGTTCTCTTTGGGGGCCCCTAGTCAAACAAGATACTTTTGCAAACTAAACATTTGAGTTCTATAGTTGGGATGATTCTGTGTTCTATGAGCCTATAAATTTGGACTGCCGTGGTACCTCAAAGAGTCGAGCAGTGAGCATATAACCTCTGGTTTTTTGTTGTTATTTTTCAGCACTGCAACCAGTGAATTACAAGCAGACGACTGTATTCCTTCATCTGACAAGTAAATAAGACGAACTAATCCAGGCAAAACTAATGAAGGCTCTGCAAAACAAATAATAACGTCAATAATGGGAAGTAATAGGATCGAGTGCATCAATCTGTACAAAAGACAGACAAGAAAAAATTCTTTATATGAGGTCAGATAAAGTAGATGACAACCTAAAATATAGTTAACATAAAACTTATTTTGAGCAGGAAATATTTTTTAGAAAGCCTCTTATCACACAAAAGGAAAAAGAAAAAAGAAGAGAGAGGAGAAGCAAGATCTATTGACATATTAAGTACTAGCAATAACCCCGTATCTGAAGACACTCTGCAATACCAAAATCAAGCATTGATCGTGCAATTTTGATATTTTAAATAGTAATTTATTTTCTTTTATTTTTTTTTATAACGCAATTTAAAATTAAAGTGAATAAAAAAGAAAATAAAAGAGAGGTAGAGGAGAGATAAGATATAGGTAAGTGTGCATTAATGAGTTTGTTTGACATTGGGGAGTGTGTTGATAGAATTGTTAGACGCTAAGAGCCGTGCAGATGTTTATGAACGGGAAAAAAAATTTGCGATGAAATTCTTAACATTGGATTAAAGTAGATAAAAAATTAGATCAATCTTAACCATTGTTGTGTTTTTCTAAATTGGGAATTCAACTTCATAGCTATAATATTAGATAGATTATCCGGACATGCCATAGAATTAGCTTAGAAATACAAACTGAGTAGCCTGACCGTTTCATCAAATTGTGTTCGTAACTTAGACATCTCAAAAATCAAATTATGTAAACTAGATACAGAAAGTAAAGATCATACACTATAACAAAAGTATGAATTCCACAACAGGAGTAACCCAGCTCAACTAAGAGTAGTGTTAATCGAACAGGCAACATCAACAAGGCTTCATGTCAGATAGAATCCATGCACAAGGGAGCATTTCAATCACTGACAACTAAAGCAGTCCCTATAGTCACCAAAATAAGCTTTCCTGTAATTTCCTCCGGATAACTGTTGACTCATTTCAGATCCGATATACTATTTCCAAGACAAGACACTCACTCATACAAAAACTAGGCATCAGAATTCCAAATTCTCAAACTAACCGATAATTGGAATCAAATTAGATGCTTGTGCTTGAATTACTGATTCTTCATCTTCGAGGCACTCCAGTAATTGGTTTGCTATATCTTGCCTGCAATATTAATTAGTATACAATATCTTAAAATGCAAACAGGTTACGCTGTAAAATATCCAAAAAACTTAATAACCATCAAAAGTAGTTCCATACCACATCAGATGGGAATCTAGGTTGACAGAATCTAATGATATAAGGATAAGTTCTGAAATTACATCAACGGCATTCCTCCTCTGTGAAACATTTCCAGAAGCAAGGCGCTTCAGAATTTCTTGAAGGCACCCACTGTCTAAGCTTCTGATGAATCAACAAATGGCAATCAAGTTATGAACCTAATGAAAGGGCATGAAATATTAATGCAAGTCCAGTAAGTGTGCAGAGTAAAACATACATGGAGCAATATTCTGCAAGAAGCATAACAACAGCTCTGGCAGTGCCATCCCGCTCATCGAGAAGGTGAAGAAGCAATGGTAGCACAGCATCCATCTGCCTTGTGTCAGTGAGACTGCTTCCATTCAAAGAATGATTTGTTTTAAAAATAGCTGCTTTGAAGATGCAAATAGCACCATCAATCACATCCTCGTCGGCACAGTGAAGCTACAAAAGGCACATGACGTGAATATGGATATAATTGCTCCAGGCACAATGATAATATCAGAAACAAAAAGCAACAATTTCATATAAATGAGTATGATGGATGGAAAACTATATTGGCAGAATGTTGATTCACTCTTTTACAGGTTATTTGCAACGTATTTGGTAGCCACCTTCTCAGTTTTCTAATTTAAGGCTTGTACCCATAAGACCACCAAAACTAGCATATCAGTCAAATGGACCTCTCCATTCATTGCCAAATGATTGGTGCTGGATGCTTCAATATAATATGAGAGAGAGGTTTCAGGAGGTAATGGTTCAATTCTCAGTTTGTTTGCTTCATCATTCTGTTCTTATTTGTTAAGTATGTTCAATATGTGCCGAAGCAAGATTATTAGTATAATAGTAAGGTGTGATAGTGTATGGGCACTCTACATGTAAACAAAGCAGAAGTAAACTACAAAAACTCCTCTTCAGTAAACTTGGGCCCAAATGAATTATCCACTGAATATTATCACCAAGATCAAGATTTGACAGACTTCACCGAAATGCTCTCCCTATCCTTCTAAAATAATACTACTCAATAATTCTGAGTGAGATCAAGATCTCGTTATTTTGTTACGTTTGTTGATGATCATTTACGTATGACCTCGTTGTTTTTAATGAAATATTGCTCAAAATTATTCTTCATCTTTTAGTTGTTCCGCAAGCAAATTAAGACTCAATTTGATTGCAATATTCATATTTTATGGTCCAACAATGCTAAAGAATATATGTCTAATCCCTTTCAAGCTTCCTTCCAACCGAAAGGGATTATGCATTAGACATCTTTTGTTCATACATTTCAACAAAATAGTGTGCTTGAGTGAAAGAATCGTCATATATTGGATGCTCTCCTGTTTTATATGCATGTTCCTAACTGTTTTTGGGGTGATGTTATTTTGATTGCGTGTTTTTGCCCTATACGGTCTTAAAAACGTCCTTTCCCATTTTGTTTTATTTCCTCAAACTCTACTGTTCTCTATTCCTCCCAAAGTGTTTGGTTGTGTTTATTATGTTCACAATCTTAGTTTTGATTTTGTTAAACAACTAAAACTTGATCCATGCGTTAATAAGCGTATCTTTCTTGGTTATTCTAACACACAAAAAGGTTACCTTTGTTATAATCTTACTCTGCACCAATACTTTACCTGTGTTGATGACCTTCTAGGAATCTACCCCCTATTTCTCTGCTCCCCCCATTCTTCTTACTTGCGTCCATGAGTCATCTCCTTTACCTATTTTACTTACTCTATCAACTCTTATTCCAATCATCTCCTATGTGTCCCCTCCCGTACCTTTGACCCTAATTTCAATTAGATGTGAATGCTACTTTCTTACATGGTGATTTAGTAGACGAGGTTTATATGGAACAATCATTTGGGTTTGTTGATCAAAAGCAATATTAGGTGAGTGTATGTACGTAATAGAAAGCATTATATGTGCTGAAACAATCTCCATGAGCATGATTTGGGAAATTCTCAGATGCGGTATTGGATTTTGGTCTCCATCGTACATACTAATACACGTAATATCATCCTTGTTGTTTATGTTGATAATATTGTGATTACCGACAATGACTGTTGGTATTGTCAAGTTAAAACAATTTATAGAACTGATTTTACACTAAATATCTAGGCAAACTTTATTATTTCCTTGGTATCGAAGTTGCTAAATCGAAATAGGACATCAGTTTGTCCTGAATAAAATATGTGCATGACTTTTTGACTTTTCTAGGTAGTCGACCAATTGATGTCCCTATGTATCCAAATCATAAACTCTCAGGGGATGAAGGTGAATATTTCTCGAATCATGTAAGATATCGTCGATTAGTTGGCAAAGTTAAATTATCCCACCATTATCCAACCAGATATATCTTATGAAGTGAGTGTAGTAAATAAATTTATGGAAGCTCCTCAAGTACCACATTGGGATGTTGTTATTCGTATTATCAGAAATCTCAAGCATGCTTCTGGACTTGGATTATTGTATAGATCTCATAGGCCTCTTAGGTTGGAAAAGTTCACAGATATTAATTGGGCAAGCTTCATCAACTATAGGCTATTGTACCTTTTTGGGAGGTAATTTGGTTGCACGAAAAAATAAAAAGCAAATGGTGGTGGCACGGTCTAGTGAAGAAACTGAGTACAAGGCAATCGCTTACACTAGTAGTGAGTTAACATGATTGCAACACTTCCTTAAGAAAATCGGGTCTCTACTCTCCATATGGTTATTAGATCCTTCAACATCTAGCTTTGATATTCTTCATTTTATCCTCGCTTATCATTAATATGGTTAGAATCTTAATAGATATTTAGCAAAGTTATATATATGCTACTTCTCTTACCGCTTTTTAATTTTTTTATTTGCAAATTATATCTTTCAAAACCTCCTTCAATTTTAGATTTTTGACATGTTTGATGACACTTTATTTTTGCTTTTACTAAAGTTTGGACCTCATCACTTCACCGCCAAAATTTTTTCCGCAAATAGTCCATTACTTTTTCATTCTCTAAGAACTTATCTTGATATTCTTTCAACACATTCTATCTATATTCTTAATTACATTAGTTTCATCTACTAAATTTCACATCTCTTCTTTAGTTTTTTTTTTCTTTATAAATTTCATCACATAGTTCTTGGACCTTTAGTCTCTTTTATTAGTCCCAAATGATTTAACATACATAAGTAATATCATTTTACTATGTGGTGTGATTAAGCTCTTTCAATGAATAGCCTTCCTTGTATGATAAATGATCCATTATTAAAATTAGAAAAATCTAATTTGCTCATCTAATCAATTTAATTGTTATCAACATAGTTATTAGTATTGTACGATACGCAATACGTATCGTACGATACGTCACGATACACTTGAAAAACGATACGTATCGTATCTCTATATCGTTTTTGCACTGTATCGTACGATACACGATACGATATGTACGATACACCCAATATGTACGATACGTGACAATTCTGTCTTTATTTTTTGGGGAGTTGAAATGACATCATTTTCCTCTATGACTTATTTTTAAATCACTAGCTAGTGAAATAATATCGTTTCAGTGATTATAGCTTTAAAAAAAAAATAAAGTCTAATGTTAATGTTGTTCAATTAAATTCAAAATTTCTAATTAATGTTAAAGTTGTTCAAGCATTCGATGTTAGAAATTTAAATTAGAGGTTTTTGCATTTTGATATTACTGAACTAGTTCGAAACTTGAATAGTTCGTGGAATATTAATGAAATACTATGTTATTATGAGTCTATGACTTTTTTATAAAGGTATATACATATATTTTATTAATAATTATTTAAAAATTAAAATTACGCATATCTTACGATACATGAAACGATACACTATTTTTAAAAAACAATACACCTTCCGTTACACAATTTGACAACTATGGTTATCAAATGTTCATCTTCGCTATTTAAAATTAGTGTTTACTACATGAGATCATATGCCACAACAGAATGCGAGACAGACTATCTAGCATAATTCTTATTTCTAAACCCATATCTATGACCATTAAAGTTTTCTCCATGCATGCTTTCCTAGTTCGGAACAAGACCCGGCAGAAGAGTGGAGTCATTCTCTTGACCCCAAAATCTAGTTTTGATTCAAATCCCTCCTCAACACGATGTCTTAAAGACCTTAAAGAGAATTCAACTAAAGAGGTTCTAGAAATTTTCTTGTAGCTAGGGCTTTCTTTATTTGTAGATAAGTCAAAATCGACAGCCTTGACACATTAGTCTCAGGGAAGACAAGTCTCTATACTCCACTCGAAATTGTATATCCCTCCTACCGGTACTTCTCGCATTAGTTCATCCACATGTGCACAAATTTTAATATGACAATGTAATAATACTTATGATCAAGGTTATTTGGATCGCAAGTCGATGTATTACGTGGTTCAGATTCGGGTATATAGGATGATACTTTTTCCAATACGTTGCACGATAGAGCTAGACTTCTTTGGTACACTGTTTTCGGTTGTAGTTTGCTTTGTGAATCGTTTTCACCATTAAATGAAATTATTTGTAATTACATATCCATGTAAACAAAAATATTTCTAAGAAGAGTTCCAATGCAAACTACAATGAAAAAAAACTCTACCCCGTAATGGTTGTAAATTATAAGAGGTAGTATATTTATATTATGAAAAAAAAATCAAAATCAAAACAAACCAAACTATAAAATTTTAAAGATCACCAAAAAATAAAAAATAAATAACTTGTAATAGTTACACTTTGGGGTTATTTGAATCATGGGTTGATTTAGGGTTTAAGTTATAATTTGGGATCAAAAATATGAGGAATCTGAGTCGCTAAAACACTATTTGAATCATACGACCAAAGTTCGTGAAACGCTTCAGATATCCACAATCATGGTACGGAGGCTTACGATGGACAAACATTATCAAAATATTAATTACATTCTCTTCCATTACAAACTTATATTAATATTCTTCAATCTCGTTTTCTTAAAACAATTACGACTTCTTGGTTAAGATGTTGATTTGTTATTATTCCAACTCTACTTTTATGCCTATTTTTTTCCGGTATAACAAATTTTATAACTTACAATTTCTATTTCTCTTACTTTCTCTTAATTTTATGTACGCATCCTACATTGTTTTTTCTCATGATCATAGTTTTAACTAGCTCTATTTCTTTATCTACTAGTGTTCTTATATTTCTTGTTCACCAACATTGGTGTTCTAGACTAGTTTCTATACTCAAGCTCGTCCAAAGTAACGCTCTCGCACATTTTTCACCACATTCGGATAACTAAAATGTGGGGTACCTTGCCCATTTCTCGAATCCCTAGGGTTCAGTGCAATGCATCAGCCCCAACCTTTATGTATATACTTCCAGAAATTTATGTCTATAAAAGATTTGACAAGTTTTACAGTGACTGTCAACAACCTAATCGAACCCTACTTTACTCGGGCTTGGGGCTGTTATATAAAAGGCAGGCATAAAGCATGACATAGACCATAAAATCTGCAAATTTTGTTGCCTTCCTAGCATTTACGCATATACTTCCAGAAATTTATGTTCATAAGAGATTTGACAAGTTTTACAGTGACTATCAACAACCTAATCTGACCCTACTTTACCTGGGCTTGGGTCGCTATACAAAAGGTAGGCATAAAGCACAACAAAGAGCACAACAACGGCTAATTTTGGTGCCTTCCTCTACATGTCTATTTATGTTTGCTCATATTCTATGCTTTTTTCTAGCAAGTCATGTTTAAACTAGTCCATCCTCCTCAATACGACAGCGTCCTCTAAATGCATTCTACCATCCTTTCTAGGATGCTCATGGACTATGAAGCATAACACTATCAACTTCCTCCTCGGCTATAATGAATTGTATCTGCCACAAGTAGGTTATGAAATAATGAACGATTTGATCATAAAACCAAAGTAAAATATATTAGACTAAAAAAATTCAAATAACTACAAAAAACCTATTGTGCTTTCTTTTATATCGTTATAGCTCAACCAAACCTGGAAAAATATTTACTCTCAATGTCACAAATATTGCATAAAATTGTCAAGCATTCAGATGATTAGACATGGTAACTAAAATGTAGGATTATAATGTCTGTACCCAGAAAATTTCACATGGACTTCACCTATTGCTGCAATCACCCAGATGGAATAAGAACAAACAACAACAGAGGACCACAACAGGTCAAACAAATTTTCAGCTAATTAGATTTTTAGCCAGAGAAAGAAATTTGTTTGCTGGAAGTTTTGATATCTATTAACTTGACATACTGTTTAGTACTGGTAGAGAAGTGGGTAACTGCATTTCTATATAAACTGGAGCACAGCTACCTGTGATATAAGAGCTTGGGATATCTTTGGTGCATATTCTGCCATTGCATTATCAAATTGCTTGACATCCAAACGCCCCAATAGAAGGGATAAGCAATTTAGAAAAAACTTCATGGTCTCTGTCCCGCTGTCTTTATGATCAGTATGTTGTTCACTATAGTTGTCTGCATAAACCTGCATATGTTGTCTCTCAGAAACTAAACTTGAAATGAATACAAAACGGAAGTACACGAGTGACAGTAACTACACCTCCAAGCTACCTGCCTGCCTACTTTAGGACTAATAGACAATTAGACCAAAAAAGGGAACCAAAAAATTATACTTCATATTATCTACCACATGGTCAGAATATATCAGGTGGTTCTGCATTAGCTTTTGTTTACCTTTATTTCCTTTCCGACGCTAGAAAAGACCAATGACAAAGATATAAACATTGAAGCCAATCAAAACACAACAAAGTCACAAGAGTTCCACAATGATATATATGTATACCTCATTAGATGAATTACAAACATTGCCATTAGTTCCAAAGGTGAGATGGAGCAGACGTCTGGTTGTAGTCTTCTAACAATGCTTAGGGTCTAAATATCAGCTGACCACATGAAAATGCACCATATTTGCTTGCATGCTAGAACAACAATTATCAAGTGAAAAACATCTAATCTTTTGACTAGACTATTTGAGACTCCGATGACAAATAGAAATATAGATTTAAGAGCGAAACAAAAACATAGTTTTGCCACATATACTGTGTTGAACCAAGGATCAAAATTTTGTGTCGGTGCATAATTTCGATCATCTCAAAAACAAAAATGTCTTCCAAATGTTTCAAAAACATAATGGTAACCTAGAAATTTGGAAATTTGTTTCCGATAAATATCAAAACATCCCGAAACACCTCAAAAAACATGAATGTCTGATTTTTAATCACTGATTCGTTGTTTAGGTTGTTTCGATGTAAACGAAACAAAATTTTGATCCTTGCATCACAAAACAAACCATAGGCACGGATTATGTGTTCTATGCTTCTAATCCATCTCTTTACTTTGTAACATATGATTCTAGATCTTGATGTCATAATCAACATGAAGAGAGAATTTTAATTAGGCTGAGCCAAACAAAAGTTCATGTCATGTGTCATTAGAACATTGCTTTCTCTTCCTCTTTCACCCCTATGTCGCAACAGAAACATTGGCATTCAAATATTTCAACTTCATACATCATTTTTGACAAGCACTGTTCAACAATTAAATGTGCATTATTGGGACGGTGTATGCAATTAAATCCCCTTTTTGTCAAGTTTGCTTTCAGTTTTTCCTGTTAAAAAAACTACAACAATTTTTTATGGCTCAAAAGGAGATATTCGGCTCTGATAGAGTACCGGACCCGCCAAACTATCCGGGCACATATGGTCCCCAAATTTCGCATGCACCAGGTATATGCCAGATTCTTCCCAAAGAAATAGCTCCAAAGAGAAAACTCGAGCTCAAAACATCCACCTCCTTGAAGTGGGATTCTGGCCATCTTGTCCACACCTTAGGTTTCAACAAAACATTTATATAACATGGGATTTAGACATATACCTGAATTAAATCCTATCCGATTATAGATAACAAAGGATGGAAAGTGATAGCACAAGGAATATTTAGGAATGAAAAAAAGATAATTTTCGTGCACATGTTTTTTGTAGTGGTAAAGTTTGCAATGTTATTAATGATGGGGATAGCAATGAGAACATCATTTCAAAGGAGGCCGTAGAAAAGTTGAAGTCACCAACCGAAAAGCACCCTAATCCTTATAAGGGTGTGTGGTTAAGAAGAGGAAATGAGATATTGGACCGGTTACTTCTCATTGCAAGGTTAAATTTACTATGGGTATTGATATTGATATCGAAGCTTGGTGTGATGTGGTGCCTATGGATGAATGTCATATTCTTTTGGGGAATATGTAGTTGTATGATAAAGACATGGTTCAGTATACAAAAGTCAATACCCTTTTCCTTCAAGGGAGGTAGTAAAAACCTAACTTTGCACCCTCTAAGGAAGAAGCTACAGTTTTTCCTAATGCTAGCAAGGTTAATAGATTTTTGACTTCCAAAAATTTGAAGTGGAGAGCATTACCTATGCACTGGTAGGTAGAAGTGTAACGGAGAAGGCCCAACTGATTGAATTTCTTGATTATCCACTAGAAATTCAGTGACTAAAAAAAGATTTTCAGGAGCTGATCAATGATGAGTTACCGTGAGGTTTGCCACCAATGATGAGTTGATCAGCGATGATGAGTTACCATGAGGAGCATTCAACATGTCATTGATCTACTACAAGGTGCAACTTTACCTAATCTATCGGCTTACAAAATGCCACCAACACATAGGGCTGAAATGTAAAAACAAGTTGAAGGGTTGCTTGACAAAAGTTTCGTGCATGAAAATAAGGGCCTGATTGGTTTGCATCTCAAAAAACAGTATCCGAAATAATTTTTTAAAAGAATTTTAAGAAAGTGTTGTTGAAAATTTTAGATTGCAAAACCTGTTTGGTTATATATTTTTTAAAATAGTTTTAAAGAACGAAAAATTGTAAAATCTTTTTGGGCAATAATCCACAAAACCCATAATTCTCATCTCTATCTTTTTTTTTCCTCTTCGTCTTCACAAAACCCACACACACACGCACACACAAACATAAACACACACACACGCATAAACACACAAACACAAACTCACAGATCCGTGATTCAAATCTATGTAGATAGAGAATGAAGAAGACGATTTGAGCACACAGAGAACGAAAAAGACGATTTGAGCACACAGAAAACGGAGAAGCCGATCTGAGCACACAGACAGAGAACGGAGAAGACACCGTTGTTTCCCATCAAGTGAAGGGCGTCTGAGTACACCGTTGTTTCGTTGCACAGCATCGTCTGAGCATGACATCGAGTGAAGATTGTCTGAGAACATCGTTGTTTTGTTACACAGCGTCGTTGCAGAGAAAGAAGGGAGATGGAGAAAACATCAAGTGAAGGATTTTTATATTTCAACAGAAAAAAATACATTTTATTGCTAAGGAAGTTTGATGGGTAGACCTCATTAAATAGGAGAGGTTGTTTCCCTTATTTTCTATTTTAGCCTGAAAACTCAGAAAATATCATTTTATTATTTTCTAAAATCATAATTCAATTCTCAAAATTTTCAAAAAATTGGAGAACAAAAACTCTAATCAAACAACATCTCTCTTGTTTTTAGAGATTTGAGAACAAAAAATTGTTTTATAAATACAAACCAAACAGACCCTAAATGTCCTTGTGCTACCCCAACTTTACTTGCACCCAAAAAGAATGGTTCATGGAGAATTTGTGTGGATAGTCGTTTCATAACCAAGATAACTGTGAAGTACCGCTTTCCAATCCCTTGCTTGGGAAGACATGCTTGAAATGCTCGCTAAATCATAGGTGTATTCCAAGATAGATTTGAGGAGTTGATATCATCATATTCGAATGCAGAGTAAAATGAGTGGAAGACTACTTTCAAAAGACACCGGATGGACTCTTTGAGTGGTGCCATTTAGACTCTCTAATACTCTGAGTACATTTATCCAAGTTACGACAGAGATACTTACACCTTACTTTTGATTATTTGTTGTTGTCTACTTTGATGATATATTAATATATATTCGGACTCGAGAGGAACATTTAGTCCATTTACGTCAAGTCATGGAGGTTCTTCGCAAGAAATTGTGCCACGAAATTGTGTTTCTTCGATTTATTGTTTCAGCAAATGACTTACAAGAACTATCAAGGAGTGGTCAACACCATAATATATAGGTGATGTCAGTTTATACGGAATTTCAGTTCTATTATGAGTCCAATCATAAATATTTGAAGGCAGTTGATTTTTAAGTGGTCAAAATCAGCTAGTGAAAGTACATGGATTGCCGAGGAGGAATTTAAAGTTATTGATACAGTGGTTTACGCTGAACTAGTGGAGACTTTCTCGCTGGAGTCTAGTTTCTTCCAACCCAGAGGAATCGATGCAGGAGCCTCCAAGAGTCTTATCAAGCACAAGCGAGCCCACTAATAGGCTTTACTTAATCTCTAGTTAGCAGATTTTTCTAGTTATCTTTTTATTTTCTATAACATTTTATATTTATGTGTCTTATAGATGGTACGTACCTAATCTTTTTACAAAGTCAAGTGACTGTCTTGTGAGTTTTTAATTATCTTGGAAGGCTAGGATTAAAGAGTTATTAAGGTGATCAAGGGTTAAAGATGCTAGGGCTGTTGTGACCATTATGAGTTTTTGTAGCAGTTTTTTCTTATTGCTATTCCAGAAAATTCACAATTTCAGTTCTTCTTCGGTCTCTTGCCCTAGAAATTCATATATTCTCATTCCGTCTTTGATTCTAATGCTTTTTCATATTATCTTCTCATTGTAAATTCATTAAAAGATGTTAATTCTTAGTCAAAATAGCAATTTACAGCAAATCTGAGAATTTTACTGCATCACATATCTACTTGCATACACATACCAAAAGATTCATTTTTAGCATCTCCTAAGTTCCAGTTCAAAACAAAACATCTTCCACGTTCTAACATTTTTCGATCACACCATCTAAACCAAAAAACCAAATAGTTGCATACATTTGTGTTCCACAAACAGAAAACAGAATATCAACAAATGCATATCCAAGAAATATCAAATTGCAACTCCCAGCATCTCTCAGACTCGAGGTGAATACCACAAAAAATACATAATCTTACTCAAAGTAATATCTTGTAAACTTAACCTGAATTCCAGACAAGTAATCGTCCAACAATACTTTGTAATCCTGAGAAAATTTGTAATTTTCCAAGTGCATGAGCATGCCATAATGTTTCCAACAAGAAGAGAGAAGTAATGCTCCAGTCTTCAGCATTTCTGGACCTGTGATCCATGTGGGAAACAATAATATTCAATGCACATAACTTAGAGGCAAAAAGGATCTACTGAACGCTTAAAACATGTGACAGTAATCACACCTGCCTCTTTCTGAAAGCAACCATAATGTTGTTTTGTCCCTTGCAACCACTTAAGCACTCTCTCCAATCCTTTTGTATGCAAAGACCGGCTTTTCCTGTTCCACTGCATAGCACAAATAGATTGAAAAGTTATTTAACTTAGACGTTTTCAGCATTTCACAGATTGAATAAGCCAACATTAGAAAGTAGTTACATATATTTCACAATCACTTCAAACTCAGCTATATAAATTTATACTGTGCATATTCTTCCTAATCTTATGAGTATTAATTTCCTGGATAAGAGAGGAACTAGATCCAAGCTGAGTGTAATCTTCAAATGACGTTAATTTTTCTCAGAGATGGAACAAGATATCTTTCGTTTTCTGGGGAAATTTAAAAACACGAGCCTGCTGCCCATCAGACTTGAAGATCAAATAAGATACAAGAAACTGGATATTATAACTTTCAAACGGGAGAAATAGTTGGGCATTATCTGAGGAAATCTAAAGCTAGTCAAAAATCACTGATAGGAGATTACTAGAATAAATTGTCCAAGACAACCAAAAGTGTTACCTCTTTCCATGTCCTCAATACTCCACCAAAATGTATACTTAAACCCCCACCTCCCTAAAACATTCGTCAGTGTTCGAGAAGGAAGAGTTCCCAAATAGAACTCTCCGGGGAACAGTGAGGCAAATTTTCCTTCCTCTTCACCTCGTCATACAGGTCCACTCAATTAATATTTCTTCCTCTGCACCTCTTGTCATATAGGTCCATACTAAAGAACATTACATAAACAACAAAAGATTGAACATAAACAGAACAAGCACAAGATAATCAGCTTAGCTGGACAGAGCCTTGCTAGGACTTTTAGACTTTTTTTTTATTTTTTTCTTTTATTTTTTACAAATTACACCTAGGGGGAATTTTATTGATTTTTAAAATGAATTACACCTAGGATAGACTTATGTATCTTACCCCTCGATGCAATCTAATTACAGGGGAAAACATATTTAAAAAAGTAAGACAAATATGCATGCTGAGTACATAAGAATGAATAAGGAAAAGGCCCAAGCATGATGTCTTAAAATCCTCGAAGGACCAGCTGAGAAGAAGATCCAGCTAAGGAGCGCCAAAAAGATCCAGCTAGGACTATTAGATGGCTCCACATCGCCATCCCTTTCTTTCTCCCTTTTCCTTCCATTAAAAGGGGAGGTGATGCAGGAGCATCCAAGAGGCCTAGCAAGGCTGTTCTGTCCAGGTGACCTGATTATCTAGGGCTGGTTCTTTTTGTGTCAACTGTTCAGTCCTTTGTTTTGTTAATGTGCTTTAGTATCATTTCTCTAATTTTCATCTTCTGCATCAGTCAAGTGAGGGCATAATGCCTTTTCAGTAATTAGGGCAATTCCGTTCTAGTTGAATCCTATAAAAAGCCCTCTTCTGGGTCTCTTTAAGCCTAGAAACCTTTATCTCTTGTTCTTTCTTCAAGCCATTGTGCTTTTCCTTCATCTGTTTGTAATTTAGCTGCTCTATTTTTCTTGGTTTTGCCTTTCTTTTACCAGGTAGAATCTATTAAGTTCTTTTCAATTGGTAGGAAGTTAAGGATGAGGAAAGAGAAGGGAAAAGGCAAGCAGCATTCCAATTTACACCTTGAGCCTCTCTTTTCACTACCCAATTCACCTTCCGTATCTTTTAAAAATTTCTTGTAGGTATAAATGTGTGTATACATGATCAAACCACAATAATGTCAGCAGCATTTTTCAAGTTTTAAGGCAAATAACAATATAAGCTTTTTTTGCACAGTTCACCACTCATCCATTGTAAACCGAGTTTCCAAGAATTGGAGTCTACAAATTTATTTCAAATCCACTCTAGTGACAAGAATTTGGAAATTAAGACTGGTTCGTGAAGCTCGAACACAAATAACTGGAGAATGGTGGAGAAAAAAACTGGTTTAAACAATAGGAAAAAATAGAGGGGATAACAAAATGCATTATATCTTTCACTAAAATGAAGGAATTTTATGAGCTTGATTCTTATATGCACATGCATAGATATATATATTGATAAACATGTTCAACTTCTGCCCACATTTGCAGTGTAAATTTATCCAATATGCTGAAAACACGCATTCTCACTCTCAGCCACTTTTTTTCAAATTGCTCGTCTTATCAATCACTCCATTTCTATTATTTGCATGCTCTTTCAATGAAGATATGATCACAGATTGTTCAAGCATCCAACTCAAAACCAATTGAAAAAGAGTGGAGAGGTTGCTTAATCATATAAACCAACCTTGGTCAACCCAAACCAAGTAATGTTGGATACAAGCTCTCTTACACCTTCCATTACTTGGAATGCAGGCTCAAATGTGTCACTAACAAACAAGCATACAAGTATGCATACCAGGAAATTCAAATATGCAAGAGCCTTGGTTCATTAACCAACAAGATCCAGATTGATACCGTTAAAACATCCACCTCAAAACCAACTGGCATCAAGTGGTGAGGCCCCTTGGCAATAAATCAACCTGGGATGGCCCTACTCATTCTATGTAAGCTACAAGTTGTCTTTACATGAACACCAAAAGTATAAAAGAACATCAAACTGAGCCTCCTGAAAATTCATGGTATATGCACGACTTAATTGAATAAAACCCAAAAAATATTCAGAATACATATATAGAATGATTGCAGAACGTACAGAAATCAGTCTCTGCACAAGATTACCAAGTTCCTCTAGATGATCCCAAAGCAACAATTTCATCTCCATGTTATCCGAGACTTCAACAGATTTACTCGTCGATTTCACTTTCTTCTCACTTAGAACAGCAGGTACAAAGCTAATTGGCAGGTTTGGTGCATTAGAATGAGATAATTTCGGCTTGTTATCTGAGACATTCGAAACCGGATCCTTTCTTGCTAGTGCTACAGTGAGAGCTAAAATAAAATCAGCACCAGCCACTGAAAGGCGGGTTGGCAACTCAAATCCCCCCTGTGAAACACTTCAAATGCGAGCGGTTGAACACTATTCAGAACAGGTATTAAGCCACTCTATCACTTTCTCGAGAATTTGGCATAAAGATATTCAGTATTCACAATATATCAACAGAACAAATATACACAAAGCATTACAAAGACCAGAACTCAGCACAATCAAGAAACATAAATACATGAAGGAACTCAGCATAATCAAACAAAAGTGCAACACAGAAACAGAAATTACAGTTTACCTTATGCTGTCGTGGTTATCTCAACAAGGGAAATTGGAATAATCTCAAATAATTGTGATTTACTTCTGATGATGAGGTTAGATTCCTTCAGTAAATTAAGCTCAGAACTAACCTAAATGTAGAGAAAGTGAGAAGCCTCATCAATTAATTATTTAAAAGACATGAAGTCCACTCACTTTTGAGCAAAGGATGGGATGGACCAAAGGACGCGGTACCAAAAAGCTATGCCTCCACTAGTTAAGCCACCTGTGTCCCCATAATGGAACATAAAAGTATTTTAGAGTGACCTATAGGGGAGCAACTAAGGCGGTCCAACCTGAACCCATCACGAAAAATTTAGTATTTGGATGAATATCCTAAGTATATGGGTTGGGCTCAGCAAGAAAGTCACAGCCCGACTTAAATTTGAGCAGGACTAGGGTTGGGGCCTCAAGTTTTCGGGCCCCTGACCAAATGCATGAAATAGAGTTTTAGGGTCTCTCTCTCTCACACACAGATGTCTCTCTTTCTCCATCTCACTCTCTCATACTCTATGTCACTCCCTTAGATTCCCACAGTCACGATCTCACCACCGCACCCTTTCCTTGTCCTCTGACATGTTCCCATTCAGTCACATTCTCTAAGTTTGTTTTTCCGTTGCTCTTCATTTGGGTGATGCCAGATTGGTAGTCGTGGTTGATCATTTGGCGGTGGGTGATGCCAGACTAGTTATCAGGCGTAGTTCGTGTCCATAGCCATTTGGAGTTTCTTGACCATTGTTCAAGATGGCGACCCATCAAAGAACATCAAGGTCCCAGAAGGATTCAATCCTAAAAAATACATCTTCACAATTGATATGATTGTTTTGCAAGACTTGGACTCTCTTTCTGAATATCCTTGTGTGATTGGTTTTAGTTTTGCAAGAATCACAATTGTTAAATGCATACTTATATAGAGACACAGGACAAATCAACATGAAAAGGCATATACCTCCCACTAGATACGATAGATAGAAGATGTGTGATACATGAACAAAGGATCTTCAATAGTGCATTGTACTTCTCCCTTATTCCTGCATTAAGAAAAAGAAAAGCGAAACTCAATCACTATTCATTATTTTTGTTGCTTGGAAAAAAGGAGGGGGGAAGAAAAGGAAAGAACTATCAAGACTCAAGCAAATGTCAAATTAGAAGTACACTTCCAATCCAAAGACCAAAAGTCCAAGACTAAATAGCATAAACAGTTTCATTTTTCTTTTATGTTTTCAAGCAAAGATACCAAATAATGTGCCAAAGGGGACCGTATTGTTGTACACATGAAGGTACACAGCTTAGATTTTTTTTTTTTTTTTTTTTTTTGGGGGAGAAATAAGAATTGAAGATACCAACCCAACACCAAGAATCTCGTTACTGGAAGTCTTCCGACATCAAAATGCACAAAAATAATATTTCCACTATAGCTTTGTGTTCCACTTTTCAGAAAATGAATCAACCTAAACGTGGCAACCCTAGACTCATTTGAATGAAGAAATTTTTTATCAGAAGGCCAGAAACTCAACCATAGTGGCCATTTTGAATCAGAAAGAGACTTTATTCATTTCAGAGCGTATATCTATACAATCCCCACTTCAAATTTGTGTCATTCTTCAAATTACAAAAAATTATTACTACGAAGAGAAATTACAATTCAGAAAAAACAAAGCCCATTTACAGCGAAAGAACTCATAATTAAAAAAAAAAAAAAAAAGCACAACAAACCAACTAGTGTCTAGAAGAGTAGAACACAATCAGTGCACAAGAAAGATAAAATTCACAAAGTTATTTCAAAATGTGTCATTGCCCATTTAAAGCTTAAGCTGCCAAGTATGACAGCCATCTCACGTGTAAATCAAACCAAAGATTACGTGGATATCTTGTCTACTCCTCCCAACAACCCCGGATTAATCACTTGCAATCAGAAATGGCCATTAGGTATTCCCAAGGACACCAGTGTTTCCATTTCACAATTAATATATATATGTACACACACACACACAGAGCTTACAGTAAACCACAATATTGAATTTTTCTAACACATGACAACATCTCTAGAGCCTTTGCAGCACATGTGACTCCCAATTAAAATTAATGGGAAAACTCTGTTAACATGAAGTGGTTAGATGCCATGGCAAGCCATTTGAGGACCTATCAAAGAAAGAACTACTGCTAATTCAATTACAGCCTCCTAGAAAGGAAAGGCAACTATGAGCACAAGATTCTTGTGAATAAATGGACTTCCTCGGTACTTGGATCTTAAAAAACATCTGAACAACACATATAGCCAATTCAGAGGAAATGGTATTAAAAAGCACAAATTTCAAGCATAAAAGAACAAGAACCACATACTATACATATCTGGAAGAAAACCCTCACATTTTCAGCATCTCTTAGGTCATGTTTGTTGCAGCTTTCCAAAAGTATAAGCAGTTTCCAAATAAGCAATTTTCAACTTAAGTTCCAATAAGCTGCAACAAACATCACAAAACCGCTTATTTAAAGCTAAAAGCTAAAAATGTACTTAATCAAAGGTGGCATATTTAATTGTCTCCAACCATCAAAGAACTAATTGCCTTTAACCCATCATAAAACCGAATGACCACTAGAATAAATCAGCACAAAGCGCCATATGCACCTGCCGAAAACACCTACACCCAAACTTGAAATAATATGTCCAAGGACTACACAATAATGCTGCTAGAGAAAACTTCCCCATTTTACGGCATAAAGATTTGATCTAAATCATAGGTAGTCACCTCTTCATGGGTCAACATTCAGGCAAGGTTTTGATGTCAAAAACACCTTAGATTGCAAAATTAAGCTAGATTAGTTGCCAAATCAAGAACTAAGAAAGGAACAATAGTTTAGAGAAATACACAACCTGGCACTTCTCTTTTTTGTGTGGTTTTGGAGGGGTTTGGGTGGTTTTGGAGGGGGTGGGGGTGATCTGCCAGAAGTCTACAAGACCAAATCAACACATGGGTAGACACATGTGTTGCAAGCAACCTTTCTTTGATTAAAGTGATATTACCACCTGACCTCATCAAGGATATCTCACTTCATAGCATCTACACCATAAACTATCACATATGGTATTCCTAAAGAACTCTCATCCTCCACAATCTAAAATATCAAAATGATGAGATCAGAAAAATGGGATAGTCTCACCAAGCAATTTCAGTTCAACTCCATCTCAACAAGTTTTGTACATTCCTCAGCACCTTTTCGCAAAAAAAATAAAAAAATTTCTATAAAATTTCCATTTCTCAAACCTCCAAGTTCCTCAAAAGGCCAACATTCAATTGCCTATCTTAACTCTTAACTTAAAAGAAGCCCATTAATACGACATTCTTATCCACAACAACAACATAGGCTTCCCATCTCCAAAATTTTATGGCAAAGGATCGATATGCTACCAGACATGCCAAACAGCCATCTCTCCAAAGTACTAATTCATACACAATAAATTTCTTTTGAGATTCCCAAGGACTTGCACAAAAGCATCACCCCGTACTTTAAAAAGTCATATTACATACATGCTCCAATCAAAAATCTGCTTGCTCATACTTCCATGTCCACTAACATACAAACCATGATTCGGCAGGGTCAAAGGAAGAAGGCTACATCTGCCTATGGATATAGCTAACATACATTAGTCCTCAATCCCTTTTAAGAAAACAACTGTGGAGGGTAGGCATCTCAAATTTTGGAAACTTATAGTGTTGTTAGCATAAAGCATCTCTAAGGAACAATTAGGAGAACCCACGATTTCTTAAGCATGAGAAGTACCGAGGAAAAAATACAGGAGACAAAAGCACTGAATAGAATGACAAGACATAAACAATACCAAGTATTCCTTGTTTAATGAATTTGCCATCATTACAGAACATGACAAAAGATGCCATTCAATGTTCCCAAATACAGATACAAGCAGAAGGGAAAAACTGTGTCTGTGTACACATACACATACACAGACACAGATAAGGACATGATAGGAAAAGGAGATACACCAGTAGATCAGGTATCCAACCCAACCCCCAACACTATTAAGAATTAAGATACCTTAAGACAGTAATCACAGCATGAATGGGATGGGATAGCTTTGTAGCAATCTAAATTAAATCCAGGCTGGAAGTCAATTCAGTCATTCAGAACCATCCCCATTCACAATAATTTTCTAAAAGTTCATGATGAAATATTCAAGGGCGCTCGCATAAAAGCAAAATAAAAATATATAAGAACTATTTCTTCCCTATTGGTATACATGGAAATGGGAGAATGACATTCTCATTTTTAAGATTAGAGCACCCAACCTTCAGTTGTGTTTTTATGTGGGAACATAGTTAAAGAAGCTAGAGTTAAATTCCAGGTTATTCAGGCTATTCTATATCTTAACAACAAATTGTAATTCTGCACTTTTTTTTTTTTTTTTTTGATAAGATAACAAAAAAAGTAATTCCATCAACTTCACATGGCTCTCAAATAGAAGTGGTTTTAAAGTAAACTTATGATCCACATCTGAAGGATGTTAGTAGTGAAAAGCATCAGCACCTCAAGGAAGCACCCTGCTCCAATATAAAGCTACCAACATTTGTCATTCATCAAGTTCAATCTTTCTGCAATACTTACAAAAGGAGACCGAGTGCCAAAACCATATTTACTGCACCAGGTTTTTGTCCAAGATTTGGGCTAACAGAGGATTGGAGAGACAAGCCCCATCCCCAAAAATTCAAGTTGAAATTTCCAAGAAAGATATTAAATTAATCTGAATTTGCTACATAAAATTGATAAAATGGCATTTAAGCAATGACAGATAGTTCATGAAGGAAAAGAATATAGAAAAAGCCATGTTACCATGTACTACGAGGTTGTTCATAGTGATCTCATATTCTATAAGACCACGTGCAAGGGTACACCAGCCTAAGGCAATATAGCGGTCCTCTTTTCTCAAAATAATGCCAGCAAAGTTGATTGCAAGAGGTTTGAAAAGAAGTTGATCTTGAAAGAGCCAATTAAGAAGTATCATCCCCTGGTTGCCATGCTTTGACTCCTTGCATTTCAGTGACTGGAGAGAGATGGAATAGTTCTATAATTACTACCAAGCAAAATAACTGGATCATTACTTTCAGGGATATGCAAATGAACACAAGGCAAAATGAAAGAGGATGGAAAAGGACAGACCAAATGTCAACGAGTGAAGGTTTCATATGTCATAAATGATTAAAAGGAACAAAAAAATTACACAGAAGATATTTCAAATGTGTTTGGAATGGTAACTTCAGGAGTTATGTCTTGCTAGCTGTTCTTGTATCAACTTCTTCTAGCTTCCACTTAGATAAGTAAGCAAGTTACATCCACTTCTACTTCTTAGTTCTTCATCTGGAATCAATCATTGGGAAAACGTATTCCTTTTTAAAATGCCTGGGTTGGTAGTTAGGAAAATTGAAGGCTTGATGAGAGTTTCTTATTGGAAGGAGTGGCCGAGGGTAGGAAGGATCAAATGATTCATTGAGAGGTGTTGAGTAAGTCAAAAGATAAGGAAAGGCTTTCGATTGAAAATTTGGTGAAAATGAATATAGCCTCGGGTTGGAAAATGGCTCTGGAGGTTTTATTTGGATTTATTTGGAGTAAGATTCACTGTGACATGTTATTAGAAGTAGGTATGGATGAGACGCTAATAAGGTTGAAAGGGGTACTTTTTGGAGTCCCTAGAAGTTATCTTGCTTTTCCCATAGAATCAAGTTTATTGTGGGAGATGTAACCAAAGTGCATTTTTAGGAGAATATTTGGGTGGAGAATCCTCCTTTTCTGGTCTCTTCTCAAGCTTGTAGTGTGTCTCTTGTTATCACAATTCTTATATTGCATCTATCGTTCAGTTATATGCAAATCCGATTTATTGGGATTTGGGTTTTCGTAAGAATCTTAATGATAGAGAAAACTTGGAATTGATGAGTCTTCTTTCTATACTTGAAAATGTTATGTTCACTCAAAATCCATAGGGTAGGAGGTATTGGGTTAGATATGAAACGGGTGTATTCTCTTCGTCTCTTGTAAATCTTTTTTTGAGTATTTAATTGATGATTCTTCACTTCTATTTTTCTAACCATCATTGAAGATTTGGAAGGCCAAAGTACCTTTAAAAGTGCAAGTTGTGCATAGATAATTTTGCTCATAAAAAAATTATGGAATAAGCTTTTTAATCTTGTGGACCCTTGTTAGGTTGCACCAAAGGCTATAACCTCTATGTTTTGTTTGGATGATGTGGGGTGTAGAAGAAATACAAAATGGAAGATCATTTTGCATAGTGCATTCTTTGCAACATTATGAGTGATTTGGAATGAAATGAATGCAATAATTTTTTAGGACAACTGTAAAGAGTTTGAGAAATTATGCTATAGACTTCACTTTTTGGCTTCTTTTTGGACTTCCATGTCCAAGGAGTTTGAAGATATACCCCTCTTTTGCATTAGGACAAGCTGGGGAGCTTCATATGGATTGTAATTTTCCCTACTATTTGTATGCTTTCATGACCTGTCATTGTGTGGACTCCTTGTCCACCTTCGATGTGGTGTTCTTTTAATGACTTCTTTTGATTATCAATAAATTGTTGTTTCTTATCGGAAAAGAAAACAAACACCCCCCCCCCCAAAAAAAAACACACACAACCCACCAAAAAAAAAAAACCAAAGAACTAATCTTTAGCAGCAAAGATTTTTTATCCTACCATCTTTTCTCCATTAAACCTCTCTCTCATTGTCTCTCTCTCCTTATCACATAAGTTCTAGACATATATACATTTAATAGGAATTAAAAAGAAATTCATTCCCACTCCAAATATAACTTCGGACAAATTGTATATGGTGGGGTACGGAAAAGCCACGAATAGTTTTTATTAAATCTTTTTGTTTTCTGTGAGGGAATAGTTTGCATATGACCTCTATATTCTCACCTAGCAAATTATTCCACGTAATTTGTAAAACAACACAAACTCAAAAATTTATTCAGAAAAGGACTTGCACTCAGAAATTATTGTGTTCACCACAATTTCTTTTTTCCCTATAAGAAGTTCACCAAAAAAATTTGACCCTCATAATAATGATATACATCAACTTATTCTGCCATCCTTATTTTTACCCATAAACTTATTCACCCACCTGATATTCTTAGATTTTGCTTTCATGTTGAAAAAAAAATTGATATAAACAAATAAATTTGATGCCATTTGAAGGTAAATGAACCTGAAAATGAGAAGGGAGAAAATCATTCATATTTTCGTACATGCTCAATCATGGGAACGAAAACTTGGTCCAAAGACTCCTCCTTTTCAATTGCATCTCTAACGTACTTGTGAAGAAACCACAGTGACTGTTCCAAAGAAACTACAAAGCAAAAATCAAAATAAGAGTGCGATTATATTCAACACAGTAAACAATAATAATCAGTCTGACCAAAAACCCAAAAAAAAAAAACAACAATAATCAGAACTTCAATGGAAAATGAGTCCTCCGTTTTCTGCTACTGGGAATCCGTCAATGGGTTTGTTTTTCTGACTTTTCCACTCTAAACATGGACATGATTCTTTTTCCTCTATCTAAGTGTACTGAACTCTATCTTTAATCTCTCCCCCTAAAACCCTTCTTAAAAACTATTCCTTTTCTCTAACAAACTCGATGAAACTTCGTGTCTCTGTGTGTGTGTGTGAAAACTCACCACCGATTGGGGCTAATTTAGGAGCAGAATCGAGACGAGAAATAGCATTCTGTAGCTTCTTGGGGCGAGCACTAAGCAGAGTGGTCATCACTCGGCCAACAGTTAACGAAAGCATCGAATCCGACTTCGATGGCGATGATGATGATAATGGTTTCCACATAATCATGTTATCTTCTTCTTCTTCCATTGCTCAAACGTACAATAGCTTGAGCTCTGGATTAAACCCTAGTTTTTTTTCAATAACTATTCGAATTGAAATGAAATCCAATTAACGCGACTTTACTCAGAGACGAGATGCTTCGGCTAGGAGCCTAGGGCGGTCGGGGTATCTCTGGAATTAGCGCGACTTCACAAAAGTTCCGTTACCGAAACTTGAGTTAACTACATAAAAGGCCCTAAACTATGTCAGTTGTATCAATTCAGCCCTTAATTATTTTTTGTATCAATTTAACCCCTCAACTATACAATCTAACTCAATATAGTCCTTCCATTAAAATTTTATATTAATTTTAACATAAATCTCCTTGAACACATCACATGAGTCAAAAATTAGAGTAATTAAACTCATATGTGTGAGGCGATCTCTTAAAATTTGACGGGACTCTAGGCGGCTAAGCAAGCTCCCATATCGCACACGTGGAAATATGTAGTTGTTATGGAACTTGAAGGGTGCCGATGAGTAATGGCTCCGAGGAGCCGTGTACACATATTGAAATTAGCATTTAAGAAGAAATGACATGTCATTAATGAAGATGCGAGTAACTGTGACAAATCTATTGATGAGTCCATTCATCCTCGAGACCCAAATTGACAATCATAATTACAAAGCATTAATGATTTTAGTACTGAGCATATCCCCTTGGGGCTAGTTTGTTTCAAGAATTAGAGTGGTACAAGGAGGTGGTATTAGATAAATAGTACGTGAAACTCATCTTATACCTTGTTTGTTTAGCATTTTATAGTCAGTACTATTTTCTAAATCGTAATATCGACCCGCTATGAACAGTAATCATAATACCTTATAGATGGTCTTAATGAATACCACATATTCCATGGTATTATATGTCTGGTACAAATAAGATAGAGGTATAATAGAGTACAAAAGACCCAACTGCCCTCATGTACAAATGTCTTTTTAAGATTACAAGGTTACAATTGTCTTTTTACAGATCATAGTAGCAATTGTTGACTTTTTTAAGTAGGCATTACACAAATAATGTTTGTGACAAACAAACAATAGGAAGAATGAGATTATAGTTTAAGATTAGGTATAATAAACCATTGGATCGGAGTAGAATGAATGTAAAATCTTATACCACCTACATCTTATATTCGAAACAAACAGGCCTTTGGCGTATCCCCAGGGTATTATTCCTTGAGCATTGAACGCCTGAGAGTATGTATTAAGCGCTAATCAGAAGGGAAATGACTAAGGATAGGGCCATAAATGTTCGATATGTCCCGAGTAGTCACCCTATCACCAAAGTAAACTAGACACGAAGATCTGAGTGAAAAACACTCATTACACATAGATAAGAGTGAAAGTCATTAAATGTCAATATGAGACTCCATGTCCTTCCATTCATTACCGATTCAGGTATAAATACTCATAAAAAAAGATGAACATAGATACACAAGACTAAACCGAAAAAAGATAAACACTGTGCTAAAGCCTCCAATTTTTATTGACTTAAGTTTCGGAAGGGATAAGTTGGTTGTTCACCCGCTTTTCTGACCTTTTGGTTATTTCAGATTCATCATCGAAATGGTCACTATCTCTATTTATTACAGGAAATCTATGTGCAAAATTAATAATAAATTTGAATAGAAATATCATATTTAGTCAAATTACATAATTGAAGAGTTGAATTGATACAAATTAATATAAGAACTTAATTAACATAAATGATATAGTTTAAGGGTTATCTATGTAGTGTACTCTTTAAACTTTTATCAAGTTTATTAAAACCTTAATTTTATCCCAAACATTCTAATAAATGAACTCAAAATTTTGATTTAATTTTAAAAAAATATATTCATATTTTTCTTAAAGTCCATGTTTTTACATTTTTTTTATAAACAATTTTCACCTACTATTTTTATACTTTCTCCCTCAAAAAGCACTTTTTGTTTTCCCCAATTTAAAATTTCAACCAATATGATTTTATAAGTAAATTAATCATTCATTTCTATGTCTTGTTAGTTCAATAGTTTTCTTTCAAAGTGCAAAAGTACCCAATCTTTAATTGTTAATTTTGAAATTTAGAAACAACAGTGTTGATAAATGATTGGAGCTTAATGAAATTATATGTTTTCTGAACCTAAAAAGGAGTTTGAAAACCAAATATGATAAGACAATGTCGATTGATATAAAGAGATTATTAAAATATGATAATTAAAGAGAACTTACGTTTTTTTGCCTATTTCTACTCAAATTTAAATTCATTACGGAGATATCCTAATATAACAACAAACAAGCTTGATTGATTTTGTGTCAAATACATATAAATCAATTTAAATATGACAAATTCATTTACTTGCCATTTATAGAAGAAAATGTATTATTTTGTATGTTCACTAATTGATGAGTTATTGTATCAATCCCCATAAAACTACAACGGATTTTAATTACGTTTTTCCAATATATAAACATAGTGGGTTATTATTTTAGGAGGTTTATAAGTAGTGGATTTAATTAGGAAAGAGGGCATCATAGTCCGGTATTTTTATTCAAGAATTATGTATATTTTTGAGTATACTATGAATAATATCCTACTTGAATTCACAACTAACATCTCACGAATGTAACATAGATAATCACTTCGAATTTACAATCAATATCTTATGTAACTGGTTAATGATCGATCTCGACGCAGTAGAAAAATTTGTTCTATTGCAACTTGTAAGTGAATATGAATCTAATATAAATGATTAAATAAGTTAAATTTAAATAATGAATACTCCAAAAAAAAAAAAAAATCCAAGATGACCAAAAACATAACCCATGACAGTGCCGTTTATTTGAGGCCAATGTCCCAAAAAGTTAAAACACTCCACTCTCAAACATCTGTAGTGCCAAAAACGTCTAATGCTTCACCAACTTCCCAGAGAACCACTCCAAGAACCAACGCAGTTCTCTCTCTTCACCAACCCACCATCTCTCCCCTTTCCCAAAACCCCGCAAAACCCAGTAAACCAATTCAGCTTTGAACAGAACTACAGAAACATATGCAATCACCTTGTCTCTCTAACCCACTCAAGGTCTCTCTTCAAGGGGCAGACCTTACACGCCCACATCATCAAGTCAGGAATTCAGATAATCCCACTCATATCCCACCATCTCATCAACTTCTATTCAAAATCCCAACGGCCACTTGATTCCCGCCAAATATTCGACGAAGCCCCCGTAAAGTCTTCGACTACTTGGAGCTCCATTATCTCTTCTTTTGCCCAAAATGAGCTGCCTTTGCTTGCTCTGGACTCCTTTCGCCGAATGCTCGACAATGGGGTTCAACCAGATGATCATATATTTCCTAGCGCCACGAAAGCGTGTGCGATTCTTTCTAAGAATAACGTTGGACAATCTATACATTGTCTTGCAATGAAATCTGGGTATGATTCTGATGTATTTGTGGGGAGTTCAATTGTTGATATGTATGCAAAATGCGGTGAAATTCGGGATTCTCGGAAAATGTTCGATGAAATGCCGGACAGAAACGTGGTTTCTTGGAGTGGGATGATATACGGTTATGCTCAAATGGGTGAGGATGAGGAGGCTTTGAGGTTATTTAAGCAGGCCTTGGTTCAGGATTTGGAAGTTAATGATTTTACTTTTTCGAGTGTGATTCGGGTATGTGGAAATTCGACGTTGCTTGAACTGGGGAAACAAATACATGGGTTGTGCTTGAAAATGAGCTATAATTCCATGAGTTTCGTTGGGAGTTCTTTGATTTCTTTGTATTCCAAGTGTGGAGTTATCGAAGGAGCTTATCTGGTTTTTGACGAGGTACCCATTAGGAATCTTGGCATGTGGAATGCGATGCTTATTGCTTGTGCTCAGCATGCTCATACTAGCCAAGTATTTGATTTGTTTAAACAGATGGAACGCGTTGGGATGGAACCGAATTTTATCACATTTTTGTGTATGCTTTATGCTTGTAGTCATGCGGGGCTAGTCAAAGAGGGAAAGTATTATTTTGAGCTAATGAAGGAGGGTGGGATTGAACCAGGTGATCAGCATTATGCTTCCATGGTGGATTTGCTTGGCCGTGCTGGGAAGTTGCAGGAAGCAGTTTCAGTCATCCAGGAAATGCCCATGCAACCAACAGAATCTGTGTGGGGAGCTTTACTAACCGGGTGCCATATACATAAGGACACGGAATTGGCAGCTTATGCAGCTGATAGAGTCTTTGAGCTAGGTGCTGTTAGCTCGGGCCTGCACGTGCTATTATCTAATGCTTATGCAGCTGCTGGAAGATACGAAGATGCAGCCAAAGCCAGGAAGATGTTGAGGGATCGAGGTGTGAAAAAGGAAACAGGTTTGAGTTGGGTTGAAGAGGGAAATAAGGTTCACACATTTGCTGCTGGGGATAGGTGTCACTCAAAATCCAGAGAGATTTATAAGAAATTGGGGGAATTGGGTGAAAAAATGGAGCAAGCCGGTTATATTGCCGACACTAGTTTTGTGTTTCGAGAAGTAGACGGTGATGAGAAAAATCAGGCAATTAGGTACCACAGTGAAAGGCTAGCCATTGCATTTGCGCTTATTACCATTCCACCTGAACGGCCAATTAGAGTAATGAAGAACTTGCGTGTTTGTGGTGATTGTCACAGTGCAATTAAGTTTATGTCCAAGTGCTCTGGAAGAATAATTATTGTGAGAGATAACAACAGATTTCACCGGTTTGAGAATGGGAATTGCTCATGTGGTGACTACTGGTGATTCAATCATAAGCAATTTATTTACCTTGTCCATTTTTTATTTAACACAACTGTGTAATGAAGAAAATTTCTCAGGGTGGCCTTCAACAATTAATTTGGAACAAACTCATAGGATTGATCCATATTCATGCAGTAGTTACAAGGAAGAGATAACGAAGAAAATCCTCTCCAGTCTTTTCCTTTTTGTCGATCTATGAAGGTGATTTTTTGTCTTCAATAGTTTTTAGTGAGGTGCATTCTCTTAAGGTGATATGATTTTTGTTTCATGATGAAATTTAAAGAATTGTTTGTGAAACTGTAAAGTAAATGTCGAAATTATATACAGTTTTTGATGCATTGCTCATGCATAACCAAAGCCATTTCTGGATCCAAAAACCGGTTAGAAAATAGTGGTGTGTTACCAACAAGCTCAACCATATCAAGTTTGGTCTATTTGTTGACACAACAACTCCATCCTGTTTGATTAGTACCCTGGTGCAGGGACAACTGCTGACCAACTATCGCCATTATGCCTAGGATTGCAGTGGTTTTGTGTTGTTGATATATAATTCAATTGACTCAAATCGCATATTTCATAGATCATCAAATTTTAGGCACATGATTCACTGTGTTTTGCATACAAAATGGGTTTCTCTTGGCAGTTCTGATCTGCAATTTGGTTTTTCGCTATGTCAAAACTTGAATTCTGTATAGGAGTACTGGTATTTGGTACCTTGATCATGGCTTGCTTATCCCGGAGTAGTACTCAAAGGAACTCCCCCACTTCTTATAGAGCCACATCCTTTGCTTTCTCTAAAACTCGAAAATGTGGATGCAGTGCCCTTGATACTAAATTGGACACATTTTTTCTATGGATCGTGGCAGCCATATTTGACGAGCTCAGATTCAACTAGGTCATGCCCAATAAATTAAGTAAGCCAACCGACGGGCCTTTGGTCTAATGGTATTCCTTACCTAGTGAAGGCTTTGCTTTCTTGAGGTCAAAGATTTAAGTCTCCCCTCCCCTCTTCCTCCCCCAAAAACAAAAAAAAAAAATAAGTGAGCCAAAGTCAATTAAAAGGCAGGTCAAGTCCAGTTTGAGAATTCGACCCAGCCCAAATTTCAAGGAGTTCAAGAAGAATTAGAGAACATGGAGATCAATTATCGAAATACTCACTCTCGAATATCAAAACAACCTTTTATGACACTTATGTTATGTAGCGACCCGAAAAATTAGTATCTTTACCTTTGTGTGACCGTCTTAACCAAGACTTTGTACCTATAAATTGTATGTTTTCTTTTAATGAAATAACACATTGAGCTCTACCTTTACATCTCTCTATACACACACATAGCTTTTTTTCTCTCCAAGCTATTGTACCACTCCCGAAGCTAACAATTGCTTTCTCTCTTGTCCACCTTACTTTATCAATAAAGGTCCCTCGGTTGCAGTTGCCGTTTTTCGGAGAGGAATAGGTCACCTAGACTGAGTCACTATATATTTGTGTGTTGATCCGATATTTACATTATTGTCATTGATTATTTTATTAATTGTCCATTAATTATACTTTATCACACACGCGACTATTGATATTGAACGAGACTATTTTGTGCATCATCAGGATTATACTACAGTTTGTTTTTTTTTTCAAACGGTCAGGGCTATTCAAATCAACTTACGTGCACATCGAGTAATCTCCTCCCTAGTTCGGTCAAAGATATGTTATTCACGCCGAAATTAGGATATTCATGAGAGATAAATCTCTGATGGCCCGACTTCAAGAAATTCTCAAAATTCAAACTCATAACATCTGGATTTATAACTCATTCCCCTTTGCTAACTTACCAACTTATCTTCATTGCTTCTCCACTGAATTGCTTAACCTCGCCTAATTCACCGTAGAATATAATTAGACACAAAAAATAACATAAAACATTTCAAATAATCTCCAAATATCTAGTAAGGGTACTATCAATGTCTGCAAAAAAACCAACACACAATGTGCCACAGTAAGGGTACAATTGACAGCCACTGTACGAGGTATTGGTCACTGTCTTTACGAGTCAAACCTGTCACAATGTAGAAACCTCATTGTTCCGCTAACACTTCCCCACAATAAACTATCGGAGGAGTGCATATGATACATTATAAATCCTTAGTATGATTGCTACATGTCTAGGGGTGTTTTAATGGCTAAACACATATGGATACACAGATTTTTTGCAGAACCAAAACTATATGAACTTTTTGTTTTCAATTAATTTCTGTTATGACAGAATGATAAAAATTGAAAACTTGAGAAACTAAAGTGATACAATTAAAAATTTGGTGACTAAACTAACACAAAACGCATAATTGAGTGACCAAAAATAAATTTTATCTGCGTGTGTGCACGATTCGTAATTAGCTATTATTAATTAAGAGGGAGGACACCACCGTAAAGTTATAGCACAGATAATTTGGGTTCAATCCGAAAAACCTAAATCAGAAAGTAATGGGCGCTAACTTAGTTAAATATGTGAGTTAATTATTTATTTCGTCTAAAAGATACAATTTGTATAAATTAAACCTCTAAATTATGTTTTTTATCAATTTATTCTTGAATTATGTGATTTAACTCAATGTAGTCATTCCGTATAAATTTTCAATTAACCTTAACAAAAAATTTTATGCGCACATCACGTGAGTCAGATATTTATAATATATAATTTAAAAAAGAGCAAACTTTAATAAGTCAATCAGACGGTCTCAAATAAACTCATCCAATGACCACCAACATCTCTCTCAAAATAATTTACATTGAATTTCTTTCCCTTTAAATTCATTACTTATCACTTACGTTGCACTTTACTTTCAAATACGGATTATCCCAAGTTAGACTATAGTTTATAGGGCAAATGATGTGCACACGAGGATTCTTATTAAAGTTGGTAATGAATTTTGATGGAAGGGTCATACCGAGTCAGATTGTATAATTCATAAATAAAAATGACACAAAATTTAATTGATAAATTAGATTGATACAAATAACATAGTTGACGTCAGATAGGAAGTGTAAATATATTGACTCCGTTAATCGTCAACCAGAGAGAAACAGGTCCAGACGCATTTTCAAACTAAAGTCTCACCAAAGGGTGGCCATCAACTTTCCGAATCACAAGCAGACGCACCACCATGGTACTCAGCGTGCACCACCACTCGTTTTGGGTGGGTGGGGTCACTCCCGGTCTCCAATGGTCCAACCTGGTCCCAGAGAAGATTTATTTTTTTGACCATATCCCAGAGAAAATCAGGGGGGCTTCTTGGAAGGTGGAAAGCTTTGAAACAACTACAATAATTAAATTCTTCTGATGTTGGCTATAAATTTGACGTCAAACAAGATTCGGGGGTGTACTTTCCTAGGGGAGGTTTACTTGATCAATTGGGGTCAAAAATGGGTGGTTGACACTCCATTACATATATAAGTATTTATTGTATATAAGTATTTATTGTATATTTTTATCTAGAAGTGTAGAATTTGAGTTATAAGAATTATTTTCTCGTCTGATTATTCTAATATTTTGTGAAAATTGTTCCTGGGTATCTATTTTTTGGAAGTTATGTTTCTGGGTGACCATTGATCTTCATTCTTATGGATTATTTTGTTTCCTTTTGAGTTAAGGTTTCTATTACAATGGTCTGTTCTAATACCCTTTTCCCACTTTCTACCGAGGTCATAGATGGTGATCACCATGGTCTTGTAGAATAGAGAGGTTGACTCTGAAAATTTGGAGTTTAATTGCTGCATTTGGGACGCATTTCTACAATCATGACTGTAGATGCCGTTTTGGGTGTGTGGAGGAATGTGGCCATGCCCTTGTGGAGTTTCTTCAAGGACACAAGGTACTATAAATTTCAAATTTTTTTTTTTTTTGAAGAACCAATCGCGGGTTAATGTGAATCATATTATGCAAACTTAATGCAGAAATGCAGTAATTTTAGTTTTATTTGTCAACTGGACTTGGCTTTTTTTCATTAAAGTTTAGAATTTTTCTTTATACCATTCTCTTTTGTCTTTAATATATTTTCTCTAAGAGAAATCACAAGTATTAATGATGCACAATAGCTGATGGTTGGTTTCAAAATGGTCTTGACTAGGAATGTTTTCAAGAAGGATGAGTTGGGTTTGGAGATATCACAGATTGCATTACCTGCAGCACTGGCTTTAACAGCAGACCCTATTGCTTCTCTAGTCGACACAGCTTTCATCGGCCATATAGGTTTGTCTCTCATGTTTTTCATATACTATATCAATTGATCATTAATTGAGTTGCTTATGATGATGGATGGTGCAAAAGGATGAGCAAGCTATTTCTCTTTGTCTAGTATATTATCTTATCTGGAAAGCAGATTTCATTCAGAATTGAATATGTATTCTCTGTTCAATTAACAAGAAACTGAGTAAAAGGATAGAAATTTGGACCGTCGGAGTTACGAGTAGCTAAGTATTAACTAGGTATGAAGTTAAGGTTGGTTAAAGTAGAAAGCTGAATGCGGTTAAACTAGTGTCCCAACCTGAAGTAAAGTAGAAAGCTGAATGCGGTTAAACTAGTGTCCCAACCTGAAGTAAAGTAGACAGCACCATCAAGAACCATAAAACAGTAATTTTTGCAGGCCCTTAAAAACAATAATTAAAATATCAAAATAAGATACTGATTCTTCGTGAATTGAGAAGGTGGAGGTCTCATTATGAAAAATCTGCTACGAAGAAAGATTTTTTGGTCTTTTTCTGATTGTTGACATTTCATCAAGACTTTAATGCACCATTATGAACTCCGCCAATGATCCTTATTTATGTCTTCATAATCTCTCTTTCTCTCTCAAAGTTATGTGTTTCCTACGCTTTTCTTTAACATTTACCTTGCTTAAATTTTTATGCCTTTTGACCTTCAAGTGTGTTCATACTGTTAACAACTATTACATAAAAGAAGGCTTTAAGATAGCCGTGTAACCTCTTTTTTCTCAGCATCAACTCACCTTCTCACATTTGGCCAAAACTCCCCGTCATGAGTGAGACAGTGAGCCAATGCATGAAGATTTTGTAGAGAGTGAAGTAACTTCATTCTTATTTTGTTGCTCATAACTACTCATTTTTTCCATATTGATCGTGGAATATGTACTGAAATATTCTTCAACACTCCCAGTGTTTCATTTCATGAAATTTTTGCTTATTCTAATCAGTTGAAGTACTAAAAGTAATAAAGTATTAGGCGAGAAGGAGAGTAGAGAAAATAAGGAGAGGTAGAGAAAGAGAGAATAATCACTATTGTAGGTTGGGTTGCCCTATACTCTCTTATTCATATTTGAGTAACATTAGGCTAGTTACAATGTTACCCTACATTAATTAACTTATGTCTAATATAAAAAATAATAACTCTAACACTCCATCTCAAGGTAGAGCATAAAGATAAAAAATGCTAAACTTTAAACATAAAACTATTGAAGGTAGATCAAGTTAATGGCTTGGTAAGAATATGTCCCAATTAATAACTAGACTTGATATATGAAGTGATGATATCTTTTTGCACCAAGAGATCTCAAATGAAATGACAATCAACCTTTGTGTTTGGTATGCTCATGAAATCCCAGATTTCTTGCGATGAAAATATCTGTTTGGTTGTCATAAGGCATCTTGAATTATTGACGGGGAAAGGCACATCAAGTCCTATATCACGAAGTAAAGAACGAACCCATGACATCTCATAAGTAGTAATTGCCATAGTACGATATTCAACCTCTACACTAGAATGTGCAACCACGTTCTGTTTCTTACTACGCCATGAATAAGTTTACGACTAACAAATGTACAACAGCCAAAAGTATATTGTCTATCACGCTTGACTACCAGTCTAGTCAGCGTCAGAAAACTCAGCAACAGTTATAGATGATGATCGACAATATAATAATACTTTTCTAGGAGCGCCTTTCAGATATCGAAGTATACGACAGACAACCTCCCAATGAGACTTACGACGGTCATGAATGAATTGGTTAACCACACCAACAAATATAATATGAGGACGTGTAATTGTAAGATAAATCAGCTTATAAACCAATCTTTGATAACACCTTATATCATCAAAGAATTCACCACTCTTAGGCTCTAATTTAACTGTAGGTTCTATAGGCTTATCAGTCGGAGGTACACTAAGAGTACTAGTATCAGATAGTAAGTTTAGTACGTACTAATGTTGGCATACACTGATGCGTTCATTTCATCGAACAAACTTATTCCCAAGGAAGTACTGAAGGAGACCTAAATATTTGGTATGAAACTACTTTCCCAAATAGGTCTTGTAGTGGGCAATACCATTTGAATTATTACCACTGATTATAATGTCATCGACATACACAATAACAATGCAGAATACCGACAAATGAAAACTGAATGATTCGAGTTAGAGCGGTGAAAAACAAACTGAAGTATAACAGTATTGAACTTATCAAACCAAACACGTGGTGATTGTTTCAAGCCATACAATGCTTTCCTCAAACAATACATTAATTGTTCTTGACCTATAACAACATAATCTAGAGGTTGAATTATATATACCTCATCTTGAATATCTCCATGTAAGAAGATATTTTTTATGCCCAATTGATACAAGAGCCAGTTAGAACTGACTACAATAGAAATAAGAATTCTAACAGGGTTAAGACGAGTAACAAGAGAGAAAGTCTCATAGTAATCCACACTATATGTTTTGGTGTAACCTTTAGCAACCAATCGTGCCTCAAGACACTTAACAAAACCATTAGGATTATATTTCACAATGTAGACCCCGCGATAACTAATAGGCTACTTACATGACGGAAGAGAAATGACGTCCCAATTATAATTTTTGTTAAGAACCTTAATTTGCTCATCTATAACCAGTTTTCATCGAGGAGATGTTAATGCCCATTTCAAAGAGTTAGGAACAAATACAGAAGACAAGATTGATGCAAAACAACGAAAGGGTGAGAAAAGTCAATGCAAAGATGAGATGCTGAGTACAAGTATGAGTACCTTTCCGCAATGCGATAGATAAATTAGAAGAAGATGATATAGTAGACGGCTCAGGAGGAAGGACCTCAGTAGAATCAGACATTGGCCAGGGAGCTGGAGCAGATGAAACAACCAGTCTGTTCGTGAAACAACGATAAATCTACAATGGCGGGTCAGAAGCCTAGGAGGGAGAAAACATATAATTTGGTACAAGAGGCAATATGAGCTATCGCCATCTAGTAAAGATTAAATTTGGAGAAAGAGTAGTTCTTAAAGCCAAAGAAAAATGAAGATAACTCAAAAAATGTGACATCAACACTGACAAAATACTGGCGAGAGGCAGGGTCATAACAATGAAAACTTTTTCGAGTACAAGAGTGTCCTAGAAAGGGACATTTAACCGAGTGAAGTAAAAGTTTAATCCGACCTAAACCAAGAAGGTGAACAAATGCAACACAACGAAAGACACAAAGAGTTAAACCAAAGGGTGATGTATTAAGATAGAATTAGGAAAACGGAGATTGGTTACCTGAGATGGGGGAAGACATCCGATTAATAAGATAGACTGCAGCAAGAACAACATCTACTCAATAAAGCTGGGGTACATGCATGTTAAACATGAGGGTACAAGCAACATCTAATTAATGGCGATGTTTGCGTTTTGCCAGACTATTTTGCTGGGATGTATGTGATCATATAGTCTGATGAATGATACTATAAACAACACAAAATGTATGCATAAAAATTGTACATACTTTAGGGCATTATCATAACAAAATATCTTAATACGTTTATCATACAGTAGAAGGATTTCATTAAGATAATTACAATATTACGCTACACTAATTAACTTATGTCTAATATCGAAAATAAGAATTCTAACACCATTTCACCAACAATCAATTCTATCATTATCTAGAGTTACATCAAGTTTCCAAAATTATTGTGACAAAGCTCCCATTAAAATACTCAATTCAATTAAATTTTTGTTTGAACTATTTGGTTTCAACTATATGAATTCTAATTTTGCTAGCTACATTTTCGGTTTAAATCATGAATTACCATATTTTTTAACTCTTTTTGTAAGCTTAATTTTTATTTACCAGTAGCATTGCTGCTAATAGGTATTAAATGACTTTTATTCATTGGTGATTTAAGCGATTCTCTTTTAATTTTATCTCCCAATTCGTATGAAATTTTACGTTTCAATAATCTATTTATTCTAACTGTATCCCTTCTTATTTTACGACACATCAATCCAAACATTACATTTCATCCACACTTAATTTGTAGAATGTGTTGTTTCTTAGTCCTCATGGCTGGCCTTTTGGTTGTTATGTAGAACATATCTTGTAAATATGTACAATCATTGCATAATATACTTGATTCACTACATCACTTAATCCATCATACTTTAATTCTTTGAATAAGGCTAAGCTTCAATATCCTATGTACAATCGAACCCAAATATTAAAATTGGTCACGTTTTGGTATCACTTGATCATCAACCTTTACTACCTTTCCATTTGGATTTATACTTTCACTAAAGATATTTCATATATTTTGTTTTAGGTATGCTTATTCTAGATCTTCTTAATTTTAAAGCTTCTCTCTAAATTTCTAGTCTGGTATGAATTCCTGCATTTTTTTAGTTGATCAACACTATTTAACAAATAACGTGTATGGTGGCAAAAATATATGGCCTTAAGATTGCATACTCTTATTGAGGATTAACTAATTTTCTCATGCAATAGTTCTTCCTATAGTCGCTCAAAACACTAAAAAGAGAGCTCATTTCACAAGCTCTTAGTATTGCAAGGTTTGGAGAGGATTAGATATACGCAACCTTACCCTTGAATGTGGAGGGGTTGTTTCCACGATTCGAGTCCTTGACGCTCATGTCACAATGGAGTAACTTTGTTGTTGCACTAAAAATCACCCTGCCAGTCACTCACAACACACACACATGTTTTAACATTTCAATATTCCTCTTTGTATGTATTTTTCTCTAAAACCAACCATATTATATCTCCAGGGACTCTATTATAGGTCTTTTATAGATTTATAAATACATTTGAAGACCACTTGTTTTCTCTTTACGTAGTTTTTTTGGGCAAGTATTTAGCTTCCATTGTTAACCTCCTAAATGTTATTCTCTCTTTGTATAAAAAATCGATGGAGATACCTGTTTAGATTGGGGGTTTTATGATTCAAAAAGCTTGGGTATTAACTTCGATGTCCCAAAGACATGTAATTTCTCTTGCTTTAGCGCATTTGGTTTCTTAACTATTAAGGGGGGAGAGAGAGAGAGAGAGAAGGCTTTATAAGACTCATCAGTTTGTTTTTGGGGAGAGGAATAGGAGAAAAAGGAAGGTCTCATGCAAGCCTTTATTCAATGCATTCATACACAACTCACAAAAATTTACTGAAGTCTAGAATCTAGATTACTCCAAAATCCCACAGTTATGTTGTATAGTTCTGATGGGTCTGCAAGGGTGTTTTATTCTTCCAACCATGACAATTTTCTTATTATCTCTGCTCTTTAAACCGTACCATAAAATGGGATGCATATTACAAATTCATCCTCGCTTCCATTCCATTCACTTCTCTTTTTCTACTACTACTTTAACAAGCACACAAAAGTGCTTAGGTCGCACCAACCACTTAGTTGAAACTCTCTAAGTGATTGGCATTGACGCTTATTGTCTACCCAGCTGGTTTTAATTCATATGCTTGCTGGAATAGAGTTTTTGGGAAACTGGTTTTTTCTTCCTACTTGATTTATTGCCAGATGCTCATATCTTTGAAGTCTTGGTTTTATTTCTCCTTGATCCATGCAGGTCCTGTGGAGCTTGCTGCTGTTGGAGTTGCTATTGCCATTTTTAATCAAGTATCAAAGATTGCGATATTCCCACTCGTTAGTATTACAACTTCTTTTGTTGCTGAGGAAGATACTGCTGTAAGTTTGAGAGGTGAAGCAAAGGAAATTGAAGTTATGGAAATGGGTCCCACTGTAGATGATGAAAGGGATGAACTGATACCAAAACTTGGTAAGTTTTGCTTATATTTTCCTTTTGTGCTAGTTGAAGGACTGCATTGACTTTTTGTAATGAAATGTTTCTTTGTAGTCTTGCAGAAAGTAGGTCGTAACTGAGGTTCTTACTTTATAGGTTCAAAAATAGTTTCTTGAATGTCTTTCTAACACTTACTACATCTTGGCCTTGTGCAGGGTTTACAAACAAGGTGTCGCCCACCATCAGCAGTCACATAAAATTGTCTGAAGGCAGGAATCAGAAAAGGCATGTTTCTTCAGCTTCATCAGCATTAGTGATCGGAAGTGTGCTTGGTCTCATCCAAGCTTTATTTCTCATTTTTGCATCAGAACCAATATTGAACTACATGGGTGTAAAATCTGTAAGTTTTCTTTCTCATTTGGGTTTCTTAGTTTTTTCCTTACCCTTTTTCATGTTTCTTGATGATGAAATAGCTTAAGAATTTGCTCATATTAATAGGAACTTTTTCTGGATGCAAAATATATGCTTTATTGGTCACTTTATATTAAATTTAAGCTTATCTCTGTAAGATTACCATTGGGTGGTTAAATTTGTTAGGATAACTTTCCTTTGGGTATATTAGTTTTTTTTTCCTGGTGTGTGATCTTTACAATATTAGATACAATTTGGCCAAGCCCTATTTTACTTGGTAGTTTTGCATTTTTATACATGCAATTTGGGTGCATCACTTATAAAATTTGTTTGTCATATTATCCAAATTTCTTTAATTTCCATTAGATCTTCAGATGGGTAGTCGGATAAGTACCTTTTATTATCATTTAACATGAGTTCAACACCAGAGATCTCAAATATTTCCTAAAATGTAGAATTACTTTTCAACCGATAGAATTGTTTGGCCTATGAAGAAACACTTCTAATACTTTTGTTAGCTGGGTTAAAGAAAAGTGATCGTATTTGCCTTACCCTATTATGACTAGGAGGGCTTATCATTTTCAGACAAATAACATGGACATGTATATGCTTCTCTAGAAAAACTACATATATAAAGTTACGATGTTGAAATTCTCTTATTTTGTCTTGACATCATGGATTTGGTCAACAAAAGATAGAAAATATAATTTTGGCAATCGCACTAAAGATTTAATGAGAAGAAGGAATATGTCAAAATATCCTACTTATGAACTTAGAAAGTACATAGGGTAGGGTTTCGAAAGAAATGACTTCTGTGATTTTGCAAGGTTTGGAATATCAACTATGTCTAACAATATGATCAAGAAGGTAATACTATAGACAAACTATGTCTAACAATATAATCTTTCAACGTGGGATACAAACTCTTTGCACAATTTCTCTCATGTGGTACTCACATGTGAGCTAACAAACAAACAGTCAAAGATGAATATCGAGAAATTTAAATAGGTGGGATTCTTGGCTCGTTGACCACCCAAGGCCAACTCTGATACCATGTTAAACCATCCAACCCCCAATGAATTGGCAATGGGTGGAGAGACCTTCAATTATATGAATTAACCTTGGGTGACATAAATATTTCGACTTGGAGTATAAGTTCTCTTTACGTAGAGAACATGCTAAATTTGAAGTTGCAGTATAAAATATTGCACTCTCATGTGGACATTTCATTTTAGGAGTTGTAAAACATCTTTAAAGTTACGGAATTTTAACATGAAGTCAAAGTTTAAAGTTTTTCTTATACCTTGCATCTGGCGTCTAAGATGAGAGTGTTTTTTACGGCAACTACTTTTTACCATCAGGAAATGAAACTATCATTATGCCAATTTTCTTCCATGTAGGATTCACCTATGCTCAAGCCAGCACAACAATACTTAATACTAAGGTCGCTTGGTGCCCCTGCTGTTCTTCTCTCTTTGGCCATGCAAGGGGTCTTCCGAGGATTTAAGGATACAAAAACTCCTCTATACGCCACCAGTAAGCAAGCATTTCATTTCCTTTATTCTTTTTCATCTGGTTTCTTTTGTTGGACAGCGGGCAAGCTTTTATCCATTGTCTTTTATGTGCTGGTGGGCAAACTAACCTGACTTGTGATAGTGCCTTAATATATATCACATTGGAATAAAGTCACTCTTTGTGTTTGGCCGGCCAGCAGGGGCCTTGCAATTTTATTTATTAACTTGAACATTAGTTAGTTGAATCTTAATTTGTTGCACATGGAACAAATGGGTTTTTGTGAAAAATTCTATTTCATTTTTTACCATGTTCTATGGGTTACTGGGTAGAGGTGGTAAATGGGTGGGTTGGGTTGGTTATTGGTTCGGTTAAATTGGATTGAGCTAAACTAAATCCAATCTATTTTTCACTCATGTAGTAAATAGGTTATAATGGGTTGTGTTTATAACGGGTTGGGTTAAACTGATTAATCCATAAAATAATTAAATTTCTTAATAGACACATTAGTACATCAACACACACACACACACATTAGTAGTACACCAAAATGCAAACATACAAACACATATTAATACACCAAAACACACACAAACTAATACACTAAAAATATACACACTAAAATACACACTAATACACCAAAAATACACACATATACTAACACAAAAATTAAAATACATTTTAATAAAAAAAAATACACAAATAATGGGTCGGGGTGATTGTGGGCTATGGGTCAATCCATAGGGGTCATGGGTCGACCCACGAATCATGGGTCTACCCACGGATTGTGGGTCGACATGTGGGTCATGGGTGTATTAGTGTGTGTTTTTGGTGTACTAGTGTGTGTATGTTTTGGTGTATTAGTGTATATGTATGTATTTTTGGTATAATAGTGTGTATTTTTTAGTATATTAGTATATTTATTTAATTTTATTGCTTGTATTATTTAATAAAAAGATAAATACTCAATTCAATGGGTACCTATTTGTAATTCATATTAACCCGCTTAATTAAAATGAATGATATTACCCAACCCATTTAGAACCTATATTAATTAATATGGGTACCCAACCCATTAATTTATGGGCGAGTTGAGCGGATTAATAGGTAATGGGTTAAGATTGCCACCTCTATTACAGGGGGTCAGTTTTTTGCTTTAGATACCAAGGATAAAAAAGTGGAACCAACTAAGAAAAGCAAATTAATTATGAAGTGGATTAGAGAATCATCAGATCATGATGTCATGTATAGTTCTCAAGATTTGCTTTCAACTTCAAGCGTAAAATAATTGCATTGATTTCAAGTTTAAATGGTTCAAAATCCACCAAAGTAGCCATGTTTTTTGGAATCTTGCTTAATCTAGTGGACGGTCCCCACCCGAAGTGGGGTTTAATGGCAGAAAAGTAGTTTGTTAGATTTTGTCTGGGTTTGCTAATTGTGAGGCAGTATCTAAAACGGTGGCCTAGTGCACGAGGCTCTTGTCATTGTAAGATCTAAGGAGGGTCAGATATACACAGCCTTACTCTCGCATGTGGAGAGACTTATTTTTGCGACTTGAACCCTTGATGCCCAGGTGACAGTAGAGCATCCTTACTGCTACTTCAACTTAAAGGGCCTTTAAGTTTTGCAACCTGGATTTTGTGACACCGATCCATATTCAAATTTGATGGACAACCAACTTTATTAGATGATTTAACCATTACATGTTCAATTCCTTACGAAGATTCTACTTATGGACAGTTGTAAGCATTAACGTACATGGCTGCTTAATTACCGTGGGGTTCTATGGTTTTGTATATCAGATGTTCTAAGAAGCGGGAAACAAGTTCTTAAATCATTAGTTTTCTGTATAGAGGCATTTTTCTCAAATTAATTTTGCATATTATCGGTATTATGCTTCATCAAGTGCTTTATTGTTTCTTATTTATTGTTGGTTTTAGTTGGTTAATCCAAGCTTTTAAAAATTTTTCTTCCCGTTGAGAAATCAATCGTTTTTGCCTTTTGGTAAAGGTATTGTGTCGAAATGAACTATTTTGCAATATTGGTGGATGTATATATACACACGCGTGTGCACACACACAACAAAGAGAGAGAGAGAGAGAGAGAGAGAGAGAGAGAGAGAGAGAGAGAGAGTTTCTCTCTGTCATCCCCATCAAATTCAAAGAAAGCTCAATATTATATGATGATTCTGTTCTTACTTCTTACTATAATTGCTATATTCTTAATTTTGGTCAGTTATAGGATAGGGATTCTCACGAACTTGTGGAATTGTGTTATATGTCACATGTTGGTACATTGTATAACCATTGATTATCATGTATGCATGCAAAAAATTATCCACTACATAACCGTGAATTGATGGGCACCATGCTAATAAAGACTCAAGTTGAAATACTAACATGATAACATCACACAAAAAACATGAAGACTTTTGGGACAAGATTATGCTATATATAGAAGAGCAGTTTAAGGTAACTGCTAGAGGCTATGTGATGTAGATCGTATTAGGAAAGAATTAAGGATGAGAAGGGAAGAATAAGGGGATGAGAAAAGAAGAAGAAGGGGATGAGAATAGAGATAAAATTTTAGAAAGAATATTTAATATCAATAATCAATAATCAAAGTCTAGTCTCTAACAAATATGTATCCCCTCTATATATAAGGAGTTCACAAACCCTATATATATAAGGAGATCACAAACCCTAAAATAAATAAATAATTCAAATGATAACTAAACCCTTAAAAGTTAAAAAAAATTACTTAAATAATAAATATTAAAAGTATTTAAATAACTATCATAATTAATCTATCATATTTATCTAATTCCTACACGATCCCCATCATTCTCCTCCGGTTGAAAAAAACTCCGAGAGTCTTCAAAGTAGAACTATCCCAAGAGAGCAGGATGAAGATGACATAATATCTCATCTAGAATGAAAGAACCGTCAATATCTTCCATCGATCAGAATAAATGCAAGAATCTCCATCTGTAATAATATAAATCTGGTCACGTAATATATCATTTATTTGTCCTGAAATACGCGATGGAAGTAGAAAGATAAGAGTTGGAGCTAATGCTTAGGAGCAGCCTGGTGGGTTAAGTTTTGACCATATTCAGCAAATTATAGAAACATCCCCCATAAGTCCCAAAAATTGCAGACATATCCCAAGAGATCTTCAGAAAGTATAGAAACACCCCAGAAAATTTCAGAAGTTGTAGAACCACCATCAACAAATTTTAGAAATTACAAAATCACCACTAGAAGTTTCAGAAATTGCAGAATCTTTCCCCCAGAAGTTTCAAAATTACAGAAAATATTCCCAACAGATCCATAAAATTGCAGAATCATCCCCAAAAAATTTTAGAATTTTCTCTTGATTATGGTATGCATACTCCTATAGAATTTTAAAACTGATATTTTTATTTATTGAAAAAATTAAAAAAAATTTGCAAAGGATCCAAATTATTTGTCAATTACATTCTTGAACTTGTTTTGGCGTCATTCCCTTATTCCAAGAGTCACTCATGAATTTCTCTAATGCGCATGTTTCAAGAATCTCTCCTCAATGTCATCATCATAGGAAGTCTAAGAATGTTTACATGGAATCAACCCATATGACCAAACGAGTCAAAGATCCTTCTATATTTAGTGGCACTTTAGATCCTTTTGAATTCTTGGATTGGTTAGCTAATTTAGAAGAATATTTTAATTGACATGGCATGTCGGATTTCTATTACTTCCGTTTTGCTAAATTGATGTTGGAGGGTTCTGCCAAGAAGTATTGACAAACAATCCAAAGAAACCTAGACCCCTTAGGAGAATCACCTATCACTTGGATTAAAATGAGATATAAATTGAAAGAGAAATATTTGCCTACTTCCTACATGAATCAATTTTATGACCAATGACTTAATCTTAGACAATATTCTTATAGTGTCTCTGATTATTTTGCCCAGTTCGATTATCTCATGTACTTGTGTAACATTGTTGAAGAACCTTGGATAATTGAACAGTTTATTCTTGGGTTGAGACTAAAAATTAATAGGGAGGTCAAACTATGCACTTTTAATACGATAGTTGCAGCCTATCAATTTGCTCTAAAGGTTGAGAGATTTCATAAGAAATCCAACTATAGCTTGATGGGTTCTTAATCATAGTCTGCTAAACAGCGTGAAAAGATACCTTCCAATTTTAATTCCACCACATAAGAGTATCATGATTACTTGAATGATGTCCATGTTGCTTTTGCATGCTTTCCTAATCCAAATGTGGCAAATGATTTAGATATGCTAGTATCGGATAAAGAGAAAAATGTTACTCATATTGACTTCCAACTCCCTCCTTCAATTTCATCAGATCAGAGTCCTCTTCCTTTGCACCCACAAGAGTTCATATCGAAAGAAAGTGTGTGTGAGTCTTTGCTTGTGTCAATTCTTGAACCATCATTGCTCTTGAAAATTGTGAAAAAATTTGTTGAGTCTACACCTACGCAAGATATTAAACCAATCGAGTCGTTTATTGCAGAATCTACTAGTGACTATTCTGTGTCTACTTGTCCAAATCATCATGACTTTGCTACGAATTCTTTCCACCTGAGATTGTTGACATTGTTCTGGATTCTGCCCCACTTGACAGTGTTAACTTTGTTTCTTTGCCTCCAGTCAATTGTTCAATTGAGTTTGTACTTTCTTATTTTCAGCACCAAGGTGTTATAGTTACTCCTTTATCATTGATGTCTTATCCCACTGAATGTCTTTTGTTCAAATCTAATGCGAATTGTTTTGCTATTCTTGAGTTTGGATTTAATGCTTATGTGCTTAATTTTTCATTGAATGTTAGTATTAGTCCAGATTTTTATTTGGAGGACATGCTACTTAATCGAGGTACTCCAACCCTTAAAAGTTAAAAGAAATTATTTAAACAATAAATATTAAAATTTTTTAAATAACTATCATAATTAATCTATCATATTCTTACATGATCTCCATCACTATGGTGCAAATATTTTTGCATTTGCTTCAATACGTTACACATACACATGTAAATGTATGTCTATGCTTGCTTGTACTTGTATATTAAATGAATGAATGCTACATGCATTAAAACTTTATAATGCAAAGCTAAATACTTCAATTCAACACAAATAAGTCCCATTTTTCCCTTTCAATGTAAATGGAATGTTCAGTTTCGTAACTCACATTGTTGAATTGTATTTGTTGCAATGTAGTGGTTGGAGACATCGCGAACATCATTTTGGACCCTATATTTATTTTCCTATTCGGTATGGGTGTTAGTGGTGCTGCTATTGCCCATGTTATTTCCCAGTAAGTCTGACTGCTTCATATTTATAACTAGAACTTCTCTACCAAAACTGTTATTTGCTGTCAACATGTTCATTGATGCTACATTGCTACTGCTGTTCTTGCTTGACCTATGGCAATCATAGGTACATTATCTCCCTGATACTCATGTGGAGACTAATGGATCAAGTTTATCTCTTACCTCCAAGTGTTAAAGATCTACAACTTGGTCGGTTTCTTAAGAACGGTATGTGCTTTTAAAATGTAATAACTCCTTATACTATATCATTTTTTTCTGTTAGAATAATTGGCATTCGTGGTGCATGATTGAAATATGTGATGCTACTACTATTTCACCCTAGTTTGATTGCTTATGTTGAAGGCTTGTTAACAATGGACCTTACAATTGTATAGATATAACCTAAATACTTTGGATGGATATGTTGCACATCGTACTTCAGTATGGACAAAATTATAACGTATGGGCATTGAACTATTATAGATCAACTAATGAACATCAGCTCTCTACCCACAAGGATCAAAATTTTGTTTTGTTTCCATCGAAATGACTGAAACGTTATAGGTTTCCTTGGAGGCTGAAATGAATGAATGATTGAGTATCGAAATTCCTATGTTTCGAGATGTTTTGACCTATTTTTGGGAAACAAATTTTAATTATTTTTTTTGTTTCTATTTTGTTTTGTAATGTTTTCGAAGTATTTTTCGAAACATTTTCATTTTTTGAGGTGACCGAAATTATGCAGTTTTGCTGCAATTTTGATCCTTGCCTACCTATACAAATAATAGAAATAAACCCATTTAGTTCTGATTAATGGCCCATTAATGAAGGACTGGGAGGGAAAATGGTGGTGGAAGTGGAGATTTTTTGAGTGATTAAAGTCAAATATGTTATCAAATATCAATAGCCGCCATGAAGCAAAGGAAAGAGTTCTAGATATGGAAAATAAGGCGTAGATTGTTGTCCATACACTAATGACGATGATTGCATCCTCTGGTTCAAGGATGATCTATTAGTGATATCCTACGATAAGAAAAAGAGAGAAAGACATATTAAGGTCTTTTAACGGGGTTGGTGGTATCATTTTAGTCCAGAAACTACATGAGGGTTATGTTGTTTTTTTTAAAAGTAAGGTGGTGATGTGCAAATGGACCTAACCAGAAGGGGTAAATTGACATTTCCCCATAATAAAACGTCAAGGGCATTAGGTATCTGGGTAATCTAACCAAATATCTGGGTGTCATTGTCATTTACCTGGTACCATATTAAAAAACCTTTTACTTTAAAATTTAAGCTTTTGGAGAGGGTGTAATTCAAGTATTTATACTTCAACACCTCTCTCTCACGTGCTGGCTAGATTTTGGGCCTTGCATGTGAAAATCTTTTTAATAATTAGGGTAGTGGCAAGATTCGAACACAAGACCACCAAGTTGAAATTAAGATTTAGGGTTTAGAGTGGAGAGAAGGTAAGAGAGATGAAGAGAAAGAGAAGACTAGGAAATAGGGTTAAGGAGAATGAGAGTAATCAGTCTCTCCTCTCATTACCCATACTTATATTAACTCATATTAAAGGAACAATTACAATAATGCCCTTAATTGAAATAACCTGATATCCTACATTTACCCTTACATTTTTTATGGATGAATGGTTCATGTCTATCCAACTATCAGTATTTACATCTTGAACTTGTGCTGCTTTGAATGTGTACTCAACATTCCTTGCTTAAACTCTTCAATTTTGAATTTTTTTTGAAGATTGGTGTTTTTCTGTCAATCTTCAGCAATGTAATCCTCTTTGACCTTTCTAGCCGGTGTTTTTGAATCCATGAAATCACAATCACTGATGTGCAACATTGTTTCATATGCTTTGACTCAGGTTCTCTGCTATTAATGAGGGTAATAGCAGCAACATTCTGTGTAACGCTGGCAGCATCATTGGCTTCGAGGCTGGGATCTACGTCTATGGCTGCCTTTCAGGTTTGCTTGCAGGTTTGGCTGGCAACCTCTTTGCTTGCAGACGGGTTGGCTGTGGCTGGACAAGTAAGAAATGCTTTTTATTTCTTCTTTTGTAACTTTAATAACCTTCAAGGTAATTTATGTCATCAGCTTAACACAACTATCAATAGAAGAAGTGCATTTCACTGCCCAACTACTGGAAATTTTCATGATGTTAACTTTTATTCATGGTCTGAATCTTGCTAGTAGGAGGATTATTTGACCACATATAGGACCTCATTCATAATTATTTTAAGATAAAAATAGGGTCCATGGTTGAACATAAAGATATGAAAATATGAGTTTGGAGGTATCTGTTGATTCTCGATTTGTTTCTGTACTACTTTATTTCCACTTTAGGAGTATACTTCGTGCAAAATATAGCACTGATGCTTCAAGGTTCCTTGTAGGTGTAGATTTGAGTCAGTTAGACTTTCCCTCAAATTAGTGAGTGACTGAGAGGCACTTGTGAGGTTCTTATTTGTTGGAATATATCTATATGGCATGTATTAAAGTTTCTTTTCCAATGCATTGTTTCAGTCAGCTCAGAAACTAAAATGTTTCGATAATGTTTTGGAAATCGCTGGGAAAGAGAATGGGAATAGAGAAAATATTGGAATTTTGATTTTGAAACACTCCGAAACATCTCGAAATGTCTGGAAACATACCGAAAATGAGAAATTCGGTTTCCCATCACTGATTTGTTTTCTTCTTCACCGAAGTTGAGTCTTTCGATCGAAATTTTGGTGGGTACGAAACGAAATTTTGGTCCTTGCACTCTAGAGCTTGAGCATCATATTTTGGGTGGAAGAATGCACTAAATTTCCACCTCACTTGTATTTCTTGCTCCAGACTAGGGAATTTGTGGTTTGTTCAATATTGTATTAAGTAGATTTCCGGAAAAGAAAAATTCAGGTAGACATAGCAAACTTGAGCTACTAGGATCACCGTCAGCTGAAATTTGTTTGAGATGTGCTAATTGGTAATAGTATGAACATAGGCTCTAAATGACTCTATAGTTGGAAGGTAAAATTTACAATCATTTTGAGCAAGGATCAAAATTTTATTTGTTTTCCACCGAAAGAATTGAAATGCTTCGGTTTTCCTAAAAACCAAAATGAATCAGTGGTTGAATAATAAAATTCTTATATTTCAAGGTGTTTCGACCAATGTTTCAAAAACATGTTTCTATATTTTTTCTCGGTTCCATTCTGTTTTAGAAATGTTTTCTTAACATTTCCAAAACATTTATGTTTCCCAGCTGACTGAAACTATGTAACGAAACAAATTTTGGTCCTTGATTCGGAGGTGTGTAATCCCAAATATTGCTTTTGGCTTTTGAGCAGTATTAACCATTTTTATATTTATGGCTGATTGAACAAATTGTTTTGTTCCAAGTATATGTGATGGGTCCAGTCTTTAGCAGTTAAATACTTTTCGTAATCCTGTTATGTCCTGATCAAATTATTCAAATTGGAGTTTTATATTTTGTTATACCTATATTGCTAATCGGTAACATGAACAAAATTTCAGGCTATTCTTGCAAGTGCATTTGCAAAGAACGATCATGACAAGGTCAAGGCCACTGCTTCTCGTGTATTGCAGGTGCACTTTTACTCATTAATTCAATTCATCAAGCATTACACTGTTCATTATTTTCTTCCTTTTTTCTTGTTTTTTGTCTTGTTCTACACTGATGATGGCTCTATCTTGCAGATGGGTTTGGTTTTGGGGCTAGTTCTGTCAGTCGTTGTTGCAATTGTATTACAGTTTGCATCTGGACTATTCACAAAGGATGTACATGTTCTACGCCATTTAAGTTTAGGCATCCCGGTATATGTCTCTTTCTTTCTAAACAAAATAACTGCCATACTTTTCGGTTACTGCAAATTCCGATAAATTCAGAACTGGAAATTTTCTTGTTTTTGCTCATCAGTTTGTTGCAGTGACCCAACCAATTAATTCTCTGGCATTTGTTTTTGATGGAATCAACTTCGGAGCATCCGATTTTGCTTATTCTGCCTACTCCATGGCAAGTTCATAACTTTTTTCCTGCGATGCATCTTTTTTACAAGTTTTAAAAGGTTTTTTTCTTCCTTTAATTTCCTGTAAGGATCCACTTGGTACTGGGTTATTGAAGTAAAGAGATTCTATAATCTGACAACCATTTGTTTTGTTTTCATTGGTTGGCTTCTCCTGCTTCGCAATTTCTTGGAGCTTTTAAATCAAATCCGAGTTTTTCCCTACAGGTTTCGGTGGCAATAGTGAGCATCCTATGCTTATTTGTTCTATTCTCAAGCCATGGTTTTGTGGGCATATGGGTTGCTTTATCAATTTTCATGAGTTTGCGGGCATTAGCGGGCTGTTTGAGGTAATATGCCAGTTATTCATTACTTATTTTCTTAGGCTGGAGCAAATAGTGTTGCATTTTTTGAGAATGAGCAAGCCACTTTCTTACTTCTGTGTTTTGTTCATTTCCTTGTTACACATAAAAATAGGACAGTGCATTTTTTTCATTGTTATATTTTTGGAAAAATGATGCAAAATTAACCCCTCTAAGGGCTGTTTGAACGTAATCCATACTTTCTGTAACATTTTAACACTTGCATGTGCAGGATGGGGACTAGAACGGGACCTTGGGGCTTTCTCAAAGGATGATTGCAGTGTAAAAATTCTTACTTGGTTATTTACATATTTTTTTCTTTTTCAAATTTCTAGTTGTCTCCATATACAATATCATAGTATGAAAAGGGAAAAATTGGTGGATGTGTTAGATTAGAATATGTACTCAGATGCACGTAGGTTGCTGAACGCTTGCTTTACTTACAATAGTATTTGTTCAGTTAGGTATTTGTAAGAAACCTGTTTGTATTCTATTTTAATCATCATCATCGTTGATTGCCTTATGAGAATTTGGATTATTTCATTTTAACACTCATCAAGGATAAGTAAATCTAGTAAGCTCAGCAATATCATTGGAATTTTGTACAGCTTGTGGCACAAGAAGATTGTTGTGTTCTAGCAAGATCCTCGGTAAAGGTTCTTAATTTTCAATGGAAAAACACAAAACCTTCTTCCCTTTGTGGGAGGTCGATTTGCGGGAAAATGCACCCAGGGGCCTCAATGAATTTCATTTGTAGGATGTGTTTTGAATTTGCTCGAACAAATGCTGTGTGAATATTGCCTTTTATTGTAGATCTTTGGGAATTTGTTTTAGGGGGTACATAACCTGAACTGAATGTGTGTTTCCACTCCCAAAATTGGGTTGTGAATCGAATTTGCTACCAGACAACTTCAGAAGAACAGTGAACTTCCGAATACCTTGTGCAATCTAAGGTCAGATACGCAAACTTGTGACTTTTGATTTTGTTCTTGAGATAACTTATTCAAATTAGTGCTGGCATTTTTTACATTCAATGCGCTTAAATCTGAGCTCAGGAAAATAGAAATCCAATGATTATTATTTGTGCTGAACATATCAGGTTAACAATCGCGTGTTGGTTGGTTTGAATTTGAAGACAATTACTTTGTTCAAATAATGCCAAAAGTTATGTTTTAATTCATTCTATCCATTCTAGCACCCTCGATTAACAGTGACCAAGTCGGATTATGAAAATTATTTGTAGAAGGTCTAGCTTTCTTTGTGGTTTAAGTTACTTGTTTGTCTAGTGCTTCATAATCACTTTTATGTATTATCTCTAAACAGAGCTCTTTCATTTGCGGATGTTTTTTTACATTTGATCATGTTTGATCCCTTTGATACATCAATTATATTGTTTGTGTTGTGCTGTTCTACAGAAAAAGAAAAAAAAAAACTGTCTATGAACTCTTGAGGAGACACGCCATGTAAATGAGCTTAATCAGTTAAATCTTTCAAAATATCATTTGCGTACTTTCTGAAAGTACAATGTAGATATTAAATGCTATTGAAGGAGGTGAGATAAGGGTTCCATTCTGTCCCTAGATTATTGCGGGTTCCAACCTCATTCCCTTCCTCTCCACACATCCAAACATACCCTAGAATAGCCATTGCAACATCATGACCATTATCTTCATCAGTAAAATAAGACAAAAAGTACCCCAAGTTTTCACTTAATTTTTGAAAATGACGACTTTGTTGTAATTATATTGAGGGTTACTTTTGTCATTCAATACCACCAAATATCTAAAGATAAAGTTCTGATCTTTATTTTGTGCTTGGCACAGAGCATAAAGGAAAACATTAGAGGTATATAGCATCTTATTAATGTACTTTTTTTGGGGTCAAAAATAGTAAAAAGGAAAAAATAAAATAATGTTACCCCTTCAGTACCATTGCCATGTATAGATACAGATAAAATGGTTCTAGCAAGAAGACATATGCACATTTGAAACAGAATAGGACCATAAAAAAGCTAAGTTCGATTATCGGAATCTATTTAAATCGTAAATTGACTCTATTTGATCCTTATCTTTCCGAAAATAGAAAACCTTGAAGTAGAAAGGTGTGAGTCACAATATATGCTTGGTACATAGCACAAAGCAAAACATTAGAGGTAAATTGCATCTAGCAATGTATTTTCTTTGCCAAAAATAAGCAAAGCAAAAAGAAAATTATGATACCCCCTTAGCTACCATTCCCATATGCATGAGTACTGAAAAAATAGATCTAACAAAGATGAAACACACTCATTATATTAATAGAAAAGGAACATATAAAGGATGGGTACCACCACTTGTTAATAACCTATGACTCATTACCATGCCTTAAATGCCTAAATATCTCATTGTTTTTGGAGTCGATCTTAAAAGTGTTGGGGCCAATCCTAGAAACTTGTGGTTGATTTTAATTATTTAGGATTGACATTAAATAATTGATCACATTTTATTATAATCTTTTGTATAATACCAAAGTAGAAAATTAGGTCTGATACCTAATATGTGCTTGGAACATAGCATAAAGTAAAGCGATAGAGGTGCATTGCATCATTGTATGTAGGGGTGATAATAAAACTGAGTTACTCGGATTTAATTCAGATTCGACTCGTATAAGATTTGATTAGAACAATTTTTTAGTTTCATTATCTTAAAATTGTAAAACTCAATTCGTTTAGATTAAAATAATTGAGCTATTCGGACTCGTTGAAGCTGAGCTCGAATAATTTTTTAAACTTGTTTAAAACAACAAGCTCGATAGATTGGGCTTGAACTTGCAAAGTTCGGTTTTATTATGAGCCTAAATTTGTATGTATGTTCTTTGCCAAAAATAATTCAATCAAAATAGAATTATGGTACCCATAAACTACCATTACTATATGTATAGATATAGATAAAATGGATCTGCAGGATGATATATCCACATTTAATGCATAGAATAGGATCACAAACGATGAGTACTATCACTTGTTAATGACCTATGACTCATTACTATGCTTTTGCAACTAAATATCACTACCCATGGTGGGGCCCCTTATTTGGACTTACTATAAAAATGGAAATCTCTTCCAAACTTAAAATTGACAAAAGAAACCTAACTTCAATTATTATACTCCACAAACCAAAGTTTTTGGTATAATTTTGTATGTAAATAACTCATTTGGCTACACATAGTTTTAATTAAAATATTTTTATTTAAAAATTGGACATAAAGTAATGATGAATGCTTTTCGCCAAAACAGTAATTGTGTATTTGAGTTCGAGAATCAGACTCTCAAAAATAAAAATAATACTATCTGTCGCTTAACACTTATCTCTTGTTAGTTGAACGATGGAGTCTTTGTCACCAACAAACCAAACTAGTTTTCAGGATGGATATTAAAAATAATGCAATAAAGAACTCAAACCATTCATAAAATATAGTAAGTTTGTGAGTCAGCAATTGCTTTATTTATTCAACTTGATCAGCACCAATCTTCTATTAGCTAAATTTAGTTGTTTTCAGCTACCAAAACCATATAAATGTCCCCCTGAACTCATGATGTAGTACATGATTCAGACCTTATGATCATTGGTTTAGTCATGCCTAACCAACATACCAACCCCTACCCCACCCTTACTCTTCATGGCCAAAGATATATATTTCTTATGGGAAAGGATACGATACTACAGCGATATCAGTACTGAAATTTATAATTTTTTAAAACAAAGTTATAATGTTTTTTTAAAGTGTAAGTTACAATTTTAAAGAGTATGATCGATCATAGAAAATTGAGATCGATACTGAGATTTCATAATCGATCATGGGTGTCTGTGATCAATTTTGACCTTCCCTTGAGCAATTGTAACTTCCCCATTCAAAGTTGTAACTTTCCCATAAAAAATAGTAACTGACGGTATTGGTATTGAATTTTTTTTTCTGGAACCATAGAGTTTCCCATTTCTTATTAAGTTTACTTTTCCATCAAGTATGTGCAACATAAATGTACATGAATTGAACACTTTACAATTCATCCAATCCATAAGTACCTCAAATAAGGCTCAAAATTTGGAATGAAGTACATGATATTTCTTTTTTCTATATATATTTTTTCTTTTGGTTTTGGAGAAATAGTAAGAACATCATTACATTGGAAATTAGTTTGGGGATAGAAGTTTCGAATCCAAGTGGAGTACGCAAGGTCATTTTGTGACAACTAAATTGACCCTTAAGTTCTCATATTCAAATCCGATAAGTTACACAATTTGTACTTTCAATGGATTCAAAAATGACTCAAATCAGCTTAAACTTGAGCTCCACAAGTATTAACTCTTCCATTAAAGCATATTTCCTTCAAATGGCAATTTTGAACTGCATTTCACCATCAAAGCATGAGAGAAGACACTTTAAGGGTCATTTAAAACTAACCCAATTTGTCAATCTTCTTGCTCAGTTTCTGAACTGCTGATTAATGAAACTTCACCCACAATATACCCCACAAATTTAAATCATACATAGAGTGGCCCCAATAATTTTTGAATATGACTCACTTGGTACATGTCAGATGCCAAATATTCAATATTCCGGTGATAACATGTTAGGAAATAAAGGATAAACCACATTTGCATAAGTGGTAGTCATTAAATGTAATGACTTTTAATGAAGTGATTACATTCAATACATCATGCACATGTGGTATATTATTATTAGATTGTGATATCACATGTGTCAATATTAATGTGATATAATCGTTATATTGAATGCTTTTTGTATCATCTAGGCAACGAAAATTGAGTTGATTGTTATCCTACATTCTGTACCTTTTTGAGTTTGTTTTTATGAGTACATACTTGTGTTGAAAATAAGAGGGACAATTAATTTTAAGGGGCAGATCAAGTGGTAATAGGGACGAGTTGTAAATTCAAACGTTCTGAATTTGAATCTTGATAATCTATAAGAACCAAGGCATTAAAAATTTATCTCTCATAAATACCCTAATCATGACGTATACAATCTGCTTTTAACCGGATCGAGAATGAGATTAGTCGAAATGCGCATAAGTTAGCCAAAAAATTCTTGACAGTTGAACCAAAAATGAAAATAAAAAGAACAATTAAACAGAGGATCAAAATCTTATTATTAGGAATTTGTTAACAATCAAATCAAGCCAGTTCATCTCAGATAACTTTAAAACTCCAAATAGCATGCACTAAATTATTATTTTTATGATTTTTGCTTTGATTAAGAATTAATAGACTTTTGT